GGTCATGATCCCAAGGTCCTGGGATCAAGCCTGGCATCAGGCTCCCTGCTCAGCAGGGAGTCTGCTTCTCCCTCTCCCACTCCCCCTGCTTTTGCTCTTTCTCTCTCTCTGTCAAATAAATAAAATCTTTAAAAAAAATATGACATAATTATTATATTATTAAATGTTTACCAGTAACCAAAATTATGTCACACTGAGTAGAAAAATAGTTGAGATGATAGAATTGAAGGATTAAGTATATAATCATAGTGAAGCATATACAAGATGATCTTTAAAAATTCTAGTCCATTTTGGATCGATGGCATCCTAGATTGCTTTCGGTAGTTTGAAAATTAATTATCATCTATTCAGTGGAGATATTAATGAAATCAATGATAGAATTACCAAAGAAGGTATGAATTTGCATTAATAAATTGCTTTTATTAGCTTTTACATCTTTAATTAAAGCATATTTTAAATATTGACAATATGTTCATGGATCATGGCCTTATTTTCTCTTAGGAGTGATTTCACTAGTAATTTCAAAGAATCTAGTTAATTTTGGCTTCTAGTGTGGCTGGGTAGAAAGGCTGAAGGATGAAAGAAAGCAGGAAAGTTTTTTAGAATGAATGTTTCACCTTCAAATAAGGGGCTTAGAAACAGAGAAAGTATGGGACATGGTTCAGACACTGAAGAGTCAAGAAGGCAGACAAAACATCCATCCACTGACACAAAAAGTGACAAAGAGGGGTTTTGTACTGAATGGGCATAATCTTTTATTAACTACAAATTAGCTAATATTGATTGTGCCCTCACTATATGAAAGACAGAATGCTAGGTGGTAGAAAAGACGCAAAGATAAAAACTGTCTGGACTTCAGTAGTCTAGAGTCTGTTTGGCAGGAAAAAGTGACCTACAGAGAAGGCAAGACCCTAAGGCCTGATTTGACAGGTATCATATGGTACTTGCTCAACCAGTCAATACTGCCCTTCCCTCCCTGTCTCCTGCTCTCCTCTCTGCAGCATGAATTGACCTCTGGTCCAAGTGCATTATAACAAAAGGATATCCACACTATTTTATCAGCACTCACTTTTCTGTATTTTGTCAGTCATGCTCATTCGTACTCCAATGAACATTATTTTTAAGTGAAAATTTCCTTGACGCAGCTAACTTTTAAAGTCCTAATTTTCACTTTTTCACTGTTGCTGGAAATGAAAGCATTTGAACCATTGCACAACATAGCCTCTGTGCCACTCTGAGGGTGTGACAGCAGTGATGTGTGTGCGCGTGCACGTGCCAGGAGGGTGGCGTGAAGGTAAATACAGGGATTGCAGATTGAAATTGTTTTGCATAGTAGCATTGGTACGTTCAGCCAGGTAAGTTATTTGGCTGTTCCTCAATGTTTAAAGAAATTCTTACACTAGTAACTGACTCACCTGGATGATCCCTCCACTGGATAAAAATTTAAAAAAATAAAACAAAAACATAAAGTACTCCACTATGATTTTACTCCAGTTTGCCTTAGGAAGCAGTAAGGTTTGCCCTCTTTGAGACAGTCATTGACCTACATCTTGTATTCCGTGTAACTCAAATGTGTTCCAGACCAGAAGTTCAATAAGGACTTGTGAGTGGAGAGTGAGAAGAAGACATTTTTATGATTGGCCAGGACTCTGACCCTGACTCCTGATTATTTGACAGTAAAATTATCTTAGTGTTGAATTTGGTGTCATGACAGAGAGGTGTCAGTTTTGATCCTCCATAGCAGGAATCTCCAATCAGTCAATTATTTCAGTCAAGAACTGAAATACTCTAAATAAAAACAAATTAATGACTTCTAGACAAAACCACCAAGACATAGTAAAAAAACATGGCATATTATTGCTTGGTAAAATCTTGCTTTGTGATCTCTGAACATCCTGACACCATATATCACTTTTCTCTCTCTTCTTTCTCTTTTTAGGGCATTTATTTGCATGAGCACATGTAGGCGATTTCACACACACACACACACACACACACACATGCCTCAGGAAGTCATCACTTCAAGGAACTCCTCCATAAAAAATTGAGGATTCCTGATTTACAGGATGCTGATGTAAAAGTCACAAGGTAGCATCTGGTTGTTGATAACTTAGGGTGGAGGTGGGAGTACAGCACATTTAATGATGTCTAGACTTTGTTTTATGTTGTAGATTTTTTGTGACATAGTTAGCTTTTTGCAGACAACTCAATCACTGACTCAGCATTCAGTGTGGTTCTGTTTATCATGATCCATCATCTCTAATCTGGTTTTGAATAGCAGGATGTTGTGGGTCCAGATTGAAGTGTGACCTCTGAATGTTTTCTACTCATGCTTGATTACTGTATCCTAGAGGTCTAGACAGTGTTATTGGTTTCTCACCAACATAAATATCTGGCAGAAAGAAAAAAAAAACTAAACTAGATGAGTAAGAACATTCCTAATCTACCTTACAATATGCTATATTTAAAATAAAACTTTTTAAAATGAAGCCCATCTCAGGTTGAGAAGGATGTCATCAAACATATTGTTTTTCAACTCTGATAAGACAGTCTTTGGACTATAATTTTTCACTGATGAAAACAAGTTTGAACATGTAATTTCAGACTGCAGTAGAAACATCTTTCCTTTGTGCTATTACAAGAAGCTAGAATTTCATTTAGTGAATTCCAACCAAATGAAATTAACACATGCATGTTGACTCATGTGTAGCTCATGGGTGGACAGATGAGATGACAAACCAGTGGGGACGGGAAAAGAGATGACAGGACCAAACCCACAGCAAGTGGGGATGGGTAGACTATCAGGTCTTCTCAAGTTTTATTTTACATGGGTTGAATATCATATTCTAAGAGTTATTAACTGTATTGAAACTATGCAGAGGGCTTTAAAAAAAAGATTTATTTATTTATTTTAGAGAGAGAGAGAGTGCAGGGGGAGGGGCAGAGGAAGACAGAGAGAGAATCTCAAGCAGATTCCCCACTGAGCACAGAGCCCCACATGGGGCTGGATCTCATGACCCATGAGATCGCTACCTGGGCCAAAACCAGCCGACTGAGCCACCCAGGCCCCTGCAGCGGGCTTTTTTAAGAGCCAGAATCCACCAGAATAAAGTACTTTGCCACTGAGTCCCGGGGGGAAACTGGGCCCATCCTTTATGCTGGGGCCTCAGACCACATCCAACTTAACACCAACAAAACATGCCTGCAGCGAGGAGCACCAGGTTGGGGAATGTAGAAGGATGACCAGACAGCCCAAAGTGTCTGCCTTACTCTTGTCTTTTGTATGCAGGTGGAACATACAGCAGTCCTGTGAGAGTAACACTGGAAATTTTATACTTAGGATATTATAAATTTGTGAGATGTACATTTGGTAACCAATTCTAATCCATATGCAACAGTTTGTGCATAAATTTAGCCTCTTCATTTCTGTTTTTTTGTTTTTGTTTTTGTTTTTGGTAGGGTGTAAAGGGAAGATAGAGAAATGTTTTTCTTTAGTCCTTCAGTCCTTTTGTACATTGATGACTTAGAACCCAAGAATGTGTTTCCAGCCAAAGCTCTTTGGCACAGCATAATCATTGCACAACTGAAGATAAACATAGAGGGTAAACTTCAGAAAAATTATTTCAAAATGGTGCCTGAAAATCTATTGTAAATGCCCTTTGCACCATTTAAGACAATAACAGCAGTCCATGACTGGTCCCTCTGCTCATACCCCAAGGATTAGCCAGCACATCAGAGCCAAATTTAAGAGTCTGGGAAAGGGGGAAACAAACATTTAATTTGAAAAAAATGAAAGGAAAAAAGAAAGTATAGTCTGGGAAGGGCATTACCAGGGAGGTGAGGGCAAACCGCCGCCTGCTTATACTGCCCTCTTGGAGACGAGGACAATTGAATCCAAGCCACACACCCACTTTCTCAGCCACCGCCACAGACATTCCAAGCTCCCATTCTTGTGAGGCCAGTTCACAGAAAATGTTTGTATTTCTGTGACCCTGAGCATGACTCCCAGTTTGCTGTTTAAAGTTTCCCTGAGTGAACCTTCGTGGCCTTGCGTGATTAATCCCTACCACCAACCCACACATACCCCCAACTCTCAAACTTCTTTGTGATTATCTACTCTTTTTCTTTACTCATTTTGTACTTAAGTGAGATACTGAGTTTAATAAGCTTACAATGAGTAATTTGTCCTTGTGTGTACATGCTTTTCCTTGTTCCAGATTTTTCTCCGTATTCTGACTTAAAATATTTTAACTGATTAATAAAAGACCATTACTTGAGCTATCCACTCATCTCTACATAAAAGTGCATGTTTTCAAATCACAATAACTTATATAATGTCTCTGTTTTTATACGGAGTCTAGGAAAATGATGTTTGACAACTTTTATTAGGAAAGCAAGAAGCTGACCCCAAGACTTTGTGCCAGTTGAGTTCTAAGGGTCAAAAGCCAAGTGCTTTTAATAACTTTTGAAGAGTAGGTAATCCTTGCTCACTTTGAAGACTGAAGCATGTACTAATTGCTTTTGTAAAATAAAGGTGATGTTGCTATAGCTAATCGTCCATGTGGTCATACCCTGGGAAATTTGATCCAAGTATCTTGGGTGGCTTAAGTTGCTGTTTTCATAACATACTCATTGTTTTTTGATTCAGTACAGTTTGGGAGCATCTGAAATTGGTGTCTTTGCTTACCAAAAATCTTTTCTCTAAAACTATCTTTAGATACCTTATCAATTAACTAATAGCAGTATTACCTTTATTAAATATTTTAGAAATCTAAGAAACCCATTTAAGTAATAAAAAATTAAAATCACTGTTTAGGGTTTAAAATGTAAAATTACTGTGTGCGCCTCCTGGATCATATTTTCCTCCTCCCTCCTCCCAACTCCCCCTGGAATTCTCCGATCTTGAGCTTGGTGTTGAATCATTCTTATACTGGTTTTATAGTCTTACTACATACTTAAATAACCTAAGACAATAATAATTACTGTTTTTCACATTTCAGGTTTGAAGTGATACCATACTGCAGATATCCTTCGGCAATTCATTTTGCTCAGAATTATATTTTTGAGATTTGTTCATGTTGAAGCATAAAGATCATTTATTCTTACTGCTGTTATGTAACTATGCCATAATTTACTTAATCATTCTACTGTTGAGAGGTATTTAGGTTGTTTCCAATTATGTGCTATTACAATTACCTGCTATTAGTAGTACAATCGTTCATACCTCCATGGATTTATGTGTAGAAGTTTCTCTATGGAAGAGTATTCATCGAAGGAGAAAACTTCATAGTCTAAGATACGCACATCTTAAATGGCAAAATTGTTCAACATGTATTACACACCCACCAATGATATATAATACCCAATATAGCAGAGAAGTTTTCAAATGTTATAAAAATCATAGAATATTTACTTTGAAAAACATGGAAATATAAATGGTATACGTAGGATAGTAAGTCAGTTTTATATATATGTGTGTGTAGATACATATATATGTGCATATATACATATATATTTGCATACATATATAAATGTATATGTTTATATCATATATATAACTATCATGGAAAGTTTTTAAATTTTAATAGAATTAAGCAAAGACTAGATGAGTAAATTTGGAATGAAGATTGTAAATAATAATGTTTCATTTTAGTGTGGTTTTTTAATATAGGTCAAGCAAAAATGTAATTAAGTATCTGTTTAAAGGTGATAATAAAGAAGATATGGGGGATGCGTGGGTGGTTCAGTTGGTTGGGTGTCTGCCTTTGGCTCGGGTCATGGTCCCAGGGGCCTGGAACCGAGTCCTGTGTCGGGTTCCTGGCTTGGCGGGGAGCCTGCTTCTCCCTTTGCCTGCCGCTCCCCCTGCTTGTGTTCTCTTTCTCTCTCTCTCTCTCTCTCTCTGACAAATAAATAAATAAAATCTTTAAATAAAAATAAAGAAGATATGGTGTATATGTATACAATGGATATTATTCAGCCATAAAAATGAATGAAATCTTGCCATTTACAACAACATGGATGGAGCTAGTGAGTATAATGCTAAGTGAAATAAGTCAGTCAGAGAGAAAAGACAAATACCCTATGATTTCACTCATCAGTGGAATTTAAGAAACAAACAAGCAAAGGGGGGGAAAAAAAGAGACACACACAAACCAAGAAACAGACTCTTAACTATAGAGAAGCTATAGAGAAACATGGTTACCAGAGGGGAGGTAAGGTGGGGGGATGGGTGAAATAGGTGGTAGGGATTAAAGAGTGCACTTGTCATGATGAACACTGGGTGTCCTATGGAACTGTTGAATCACTAAACTACACCTGAAACTAATATAACATTGTATGTTAACTACATAAACTGGAATTTAAAAATTTTTTAAAGGTGATAATAAACATTAAGTTCATTTGTGCCATTCTGAGCCTGTATTTGGGTACAAATGCAGCTGAGGTAGGTGATGAGAATAGAGAATAAAAGGAAAGTCTAAGAATGAGAGGAAGTGAAAATAATGTGGTTCACAGAGAACATCGTCCCAATAACTTATATTAAGAAATGCTTACAAGAATACCTAACAGAATACCTCCCTCCACCATCCTGGATACAAATCTCTTGGAGGCTTCGTGAAGACCAAGGGTTCCCTGGAACCAAGTATGAAAACCTGACAGAGAGGACCAACTATTTGAATGCCATTGAAAAGCAACCCTGTCCTCAAACAGTAGATAATTATCTTTAAGTGGAGGAAGCATTAATTTGCAAAAATAAGCATAGAATTTTTTAAATTTTACCCTATCAGGGGAGTAAATAGTAATAATTTATTTTTTTAAATGTCTTTTGTAAGGAAAGCATCATGTTTTAACATGATGTGCATGGTAAAAACCTGTGTCTCTACCTTAACATTTAACCAGAGAGATACTTCACTCATGATGGTTCTTCAGTTTTGAAGTTTAAGCTACTGAACATGGACATGGAGAATTCTGCACTGGTATTCATCCATCCACCTAGCAGTCTTTCCTCTCATCACATGGATAAATTGGGAGCAACATACTAGATTGTGTTGGGAAAATATCAGATATCTTTAAAATGGGGATACAATCAGCCCCTCCTAGTTGCCTGGCCATATTGTCTTAAATAATCTCTTTTCATTTTATTAAGGTGACCACAAGTCATCTCTTTACAATGTAAGGTCCAAAAGGAGATAAGTCATACTTTGTAGAACATGTGTTGATTTTCTTCATCATCACATCATTATCCCTTTTCCTCCTAATTTTAATGCCTTTTATCATTTCTCATGGAATATATTCCCCTCAAGAAATTCTTTAAATTCTTTTCTTCAGAATATAAACGACTTTCTCTTCTTTATAGTCTCCTGATTTCAGTTTGAACTGCTCTCTAATGACCATGATTTCTATACCTCATTTACTTATTCTGTCACAATCACCATCAGCATTATTATTATTTTTAGCACACATGACATGATTGACATTTAGAATGTACACTCTCTCCCATAGCAGTAGCACCCATATCCCAAAAGGGGGGATGGGGAAGAAATTGTAGGAAGGGTTTTTAAGACCCCTTTTTTTTAAGATTCAGAAACAATATGAGATTGAAGGGGTTTTTAAGTTAATTAATTCCAGTATAATTAACATACAGTGTTATATTAGTTTCAGGTTTACAATATAGTGACTCAGCAATTCTATACATTACTCGGTGCTCATCATGATAAGTATACTCTTTTTTTTAAAATAAAGATTTTATTTATTTAGCTGAGAGAGGGAGTGACCGAGGGGGGCGGAGAGAGAGAGAGAGCACAAGCTGGGGGAGAGACAGGAGAGAGAGAAGTGGGTTCCCTGCTCAGCCCCAATGTGGGGCTCAATCCCAGGACACTGAGCTCATGACCTGAGCCAAAGGCAGAAGCTTAACCGACTGAGCCACCCGGATGCCCCATGATAAATGTACTCTTAATCCCTTTCACCTATTTCACCCATCCTTCCACCTGCTTCCTTCTGGTAACCACCAGTTTGTTCTCTATAGTTAAGAGTCTGTTTTTTGGTTTGCCCCTTTTTTCTTTGTTCATTTGTTTTGTTCTTAAATTCCACATATGAGTGAAATCATATGATATTTGCCTTATTTGACTTATTTTATTTAGCATTATACCTTCTAGATCCATCCATGTTGTTGCAAATAGCAAGATTTCATTTTTTATGGCTGAATAATATTCCATGGTGTGTGTGTGTGTCCCACTTCTTTATCCATGCATCTATGGATAGATATTTAGGTTGCTTCCATATTTTGGCTATTGTAAATAATGCTGCAGTAAACATAGGAGTGTATATGTCTTTTCAAATTAGTGTTTTCATATTCTTTGTGTGGCATTTCTGGATCATATGATAATTCTATTTTTATCTTTTTGAGGAAACTTCATACCATTTTCCACAGTGGTTGCATCAGTTTGTATTCTCAGGAACAGTGCATGAGGGTTCCTTTCTCCACATCTTCCCCACCACTTGTTATTTCTTGTGTTTTTTACGTCAGCTATTCTGACAAGTGTGGGATGGTATCTCCTTGTGGTTTTAATTTGCATTTTCCTGATGATGAGTGATGTTGAGCATCTTTTCATGTATCTGTTGGCCATCTGCATGGCTTCTTTGGAGAAATGTCTGTTTATATCTTCTGCCTGTTTTATTTATTTATTTATTTATTTTATGCATGAGAGAGAGAGAGGCAAAGGGAGAAGCAGGCTCCCAAGGAGCAGGGAGCCCGATGCGGGACTCAATCCCAGGACCCTGGGATCACGACCTGAGCCAAAGGCAGACGCTTAACCATCTGAGCCACCCAAGCGCCCATCTTCTGCCTGTTTTTTAACTGGATTTTTTTTGGTGTTGGGTTGTACATATATTTTATATATTTTGGGTATTAACCCCTTATCAAATACATCATTTGCAAATATCCTTTCCCATTCAGTAGGTTGTCTTGTCCTTTTGTTTTGTGGATTATTTTCTTTGCTGTGCAGAAGATTTTTATTTTGATAAAGTCCCAATAGTTTATCTTTGCTTTTATTTTCCTTGCTTCAGGAGACGTATCTAAAAAAATGTTGCTATAGCCAATGTCAGAGAAATTACTGTGTGTTCTTTCTTCTAGGATTTTTATGGTCTCAGGTCTCACATTTAGGTCTTTAATCCATTTTGAGTTTATTTTTGTGTATGGTATAAGAAAGTGGTCCAGTTTCCTTCTTTTGCATGTAGCTGTCCCATTTTCCCAGCACAATTTGTTGAAGAGACTGTGTTTTTTCCATGGGATAGTCTTGCCTCTTTTGTCATAGATTAAAAGATTGAAGTTTTTCTTCAACTTCTTGATATCTAATTTTAGCTGGACACCTAACATGCAGTGCTAGCCTCTGGTCAGTTTTCCTTGCATTGTTATTTAATGCTTGTGTAACCCTATGAAGTAGATTCTGTTATGAACCTTGTTTTACAAATGAGGAAACATGTCCAGGGATGTTATGTATCTTGCCAGAAATCACTTGATATGTCCAAAATTGAGCTTCTTCACTTTCTTGTAAAACTCATCTTTTTCACCTCCATTCATGGCAGGACTCCTCTCTTCTTTCAGACCGTACATTCCTTCCATCAGCCAATCACATCAGCTCTACCTGCAAAATGCGTGGAGAATCCAACCACTTGTTACCACCCTCACTGCTACCACCCTAGGCCAAGCCACCCATCACCTCGAACCTGTATCCTTAACTGCCTCTTAACTGCCTCCCTACTTTCACCCTTGCCCCCTCCTATAATTTATTTCAAATGTGGCAACCAGAGTGACATTTTTAGACATAAATCATGTCCTGTCACTCCTCACCTGAAAACCCTCCAATATCTGTCCCTCACATTTAGAATAAAATCCCTTCTATGGTCAAGAAGTCCTTACCTGACCCGGGCCTGCCTACCCCTCCTACTTTGCCTTCTTATATTCTTTCCCCGGCTTACTCCATTCTACGTACTTTGGCCTCTTTGCTGTTCCTTGGTAATTGCTGTTCCCCCATCCTGAAACACCCTTTCCTCAGATAGTCACAAGGCTTTCTCCCTCACTCCATGCAAGTCTTCATAAAATGTTTCCTCTACTGAAAGGCCCTTCTGGGTCCCTCTAATAAAATGACATTGCCCTATCAACCAATTGTAATCCATTTATCCCAGCATGTTGTATATGCTTGCTTATGGTCTCTTTCTCTGTCTAGAATCTAAGCTTCTCTTTGAGGCCAGGAACTCAGTATTGTACACCTAGGTCTTCCTAGTGCTTCAAACAGTGCCTGACGCACAAACGTTTGTAGAATGATTTAATCCATAGACAATTGTATAAACCCAAATGAACACACACATACTGCCAATGCAGAAATGCGTAAGTGAATATTATATATTAAAAGACAAGTGCATTTTGTGTAGGACCACATCGAAGGAAAAATAGATACCAGGGAGTAGATGCAACATGTGTACCTCACATTGTTTCTAAATCAATCAAAACACTCAGAAGCTGTTCAAGTCAGCAACCCCTCCCTTGTAATCACATATATTGCTTTTTCATAAATTATTTCCAGATCGTATTCTTGTTTCAATGTTGATCACTCCTAAAGTTCAAATAATATGAGAGTTACACTTGTATTCATCTATTATCAGTCTCCTTTCTCTCTCTCTCTCTCATCTCTCTCTCTCTCTCTCTGTCCCCCTGCCTACCTATCCATCTGTCTCTCTTAATCTGACCTATCCATACCTTTACACTCTGACCCCTTATCTTTAACTATCTACTGGACATGACCAGTAAATGTTGGAGGTCTTGCAACATCAGATTCAAACCAGTTCCAAGGTTAACCCCATTCTCTGTTGCTCAGAGTCTGTTCCTCTTCTACGGGCTGCCTTACTTCACTTTCATCCCTTACATTAAGTCAGTCACCAGATCCCATCCCTTCTACGTTCTGTGTCCCTCTGTATCTGCCCCTTCCTTTCTCATCCCATATGTACCGCCATGGCACCAACCGCCTTTAACCCCACCTACACAGAGTCAACGTCTTCCAAGCTTCTGCCTGTGACTCCAGCATCATGTAGGCCACCTCCATCTTCATCCTGTCACTGTTTTTGCTCAAAAACCTTCAATGGCATGCAATTCCAGGCACATAAAACCAAAACGCCTCTACCTGCTGGTGACGATGCTCTGTTATCTGGCTGTGCTTTCTTACATCGTACTTGTCGCCTTACAGTTCCACCAAAGCACTGTGTTCCTTTCTCTATCATTTGCTCCTGTTCGCCAACAAATGTAACATGATCCCCTTAACCCAAATCTGCACTTCTCAATTCTCTTGTCTTTATAATGTTTACAACAGTGTCAGCCTTTACTGATGTCCTTTTCATCTGAAATCTTGTAGTGCTTACCGATTTTTAAAAGGTTCGTAATTAATTTTATGCTTCTTTTTATTTATTTCATCTTGTTGCTATATCATGTGTTAGTCCTCTCCACCCAACTAGATAGGAATCTACTTGAACAGAAAAAAACCATCTCATGTACTTTATATAGTGCTGGAATGCACCCGCATAGCATACCAGTCCTTTTTTTTCAGGCAGCATACACACACACACCAGTTCAAGTAAGTCAACACTCTCATTGCTTACTCAGAGAAAACAAGTTTACATGCCATTTCAAGTAGGACAGGTGGGAAAGAAACGAGGACAATGTGATGGTTTGGAGAAGTTATGAGATTTAAGACTGAAGTATCTATATAATAATCATAGTAATAATAATAGCAACAACAACAACAAAGCACTGATTCCCCACACCCCATAGTCAGAGGCAGATTTATAATGAAGCTGATGTAATGTCAGGATCCCTCACTTGCCCACTTCCCTATAAGGTCCTAAGGGAACCCTAGCACTGTGTTCACATGTTTTTGTAAAACTTATAAAAGTAAGATAGTCTAAGTGCACTCAATTCAGGTCATCATGGATTGTCGGTAGGCATTCGGCATTCATAATTTCTCATGTTGGATGGTATTGTTTCTAAATCAATCAAAACACTCAGAAGCTGTTCAAGTCAGCAACCCCTCCCTTGTAATCACATATATTGCTTTTTCTAAAAAGCAATGAGAGGTGCAAGAGCAATGTGAGGTGGCCAAGGCCTTTTGTATCCATAATTTTTGATGCCAAGCACCACTGGAGTGACTGAACGAGTGTTTTTTAATTATGATTTTTATGCTTTTTATTGTCTCATTATTTCCTTAGTCACAAAATGAAATTGGGTGTTCTAAGGCTAGCTCTAGACTGTTTCCTGCCCATATGAGAAATGACAGAACCCTGGACAAACAGGAAATTAAGTGTCAGAAGAGATAGAAATGAATTTTCATTGAGGACCTACTATATTCCAACAGTGTACATAAGTCATTGATCTCTTTGAGTGCTGTAATAACTATTTAAGGCAGATAATCATTTTCTCCATTGACAAGTGAGAAAACCCAAGCTGAAAATGTTAAGTAACTTATTGCAAGTCACATAACTAGAAAGAGTTTGAATTTGGAGGTGAGTTCAATTCTGAATCCAAAGCCCATGATGTTCCTAAACATTACAGACTGAAGCAAAAATCAGGAAGTAGATGTTACAAATAAATTGCGGCATATACGGATAACCATTTTAAGAAACTAGCAAAAATTTAAATACCCTCCTATCTACATATTTTCCCATAGTATATTTATGTAAACAAAATGTAAAAATGTTATTTCTTTTCTGTACTACTCTGTAGTCTCTTGACCTGTTACTTCAAGAGATTCAGAGTAAAGTTGCAGTTTCCTTTGTGAAGTCAAGAATTTATAATTTGTCAGTCCCTAAAGAAAAATGTGAAGGAGGGGGAGTCGAAAGATCTGAAGAGTTTGGAGTGTGACGCCTGGGCTATTTATCTTCAGGTGCTGGAATGTTGTGTTTCTGTCACCCTTGCTCTTGTGATTTGCTGCGTGATTCCATTTGAGATAGTAGCCACTCGAAAGCAGTATGAGTGAATTTGAACTTGTTGTGTTTAAGTAATTACTTAATTTTGGCTTCTTGCCATTTAACAGCCTTGGAGAAATCTGTAGTTATTATGTACATATATTTTATTTCAAGGTGACTTTTGATTATTTCCCTCTTGTGTTTTCTTAGATACTTTTGTAGCTAGAAAACAGCTTTGTCATTGCTTTAATAAAATGCATACAAGCTTGCTACTCTGTTAACACATAGAGAGAGAGAGGGAGAGATTGCTATTAAATTCCCATGCATTCAAGCAAGAACAGCTGGTTAGGATTAGGAGAACGTTCTACCTTCAGCATACAGCTTTCCCACAGCTTCTTTCCTCTTTTTATTTTATTTTTTTTTTCTGGAGCTGACATAAACAAAGTTGGCGTCATATCCTGTATTCAGTTAACATTTTTGATACAATAAAGTTATTTCTCTAAATTATTTTCAATGCTGAGTACAGCAGACATTTCATTATTCGAGAATCTGCTTTTTAACCAGAGCAAGCGTTCACAGGATGACTAAAACATATAAAGTAAATTATATCACACAAGATCATTGCTAGCAATAGCTTTAATTGCTATTCACTTGCTCAATAGGCATGTTAGACTTTTTACCTTTTTTTTTTTTTTTTTAAGGTAAGCATATGTGGTCCTGGGAACTGCCTGACAAGATTAGATAGATTTGAAGTCCCTAGGTGGCACAGTTGTAAGTGTCCAACTCTTGATTTCAGCTCAGGTCATGATCTCAGAGTCCTGAGATGGAGCCCTGCATTGGGCTACCCACTCAGCGGGGTGTCTGCTTCAGATTCTCTCCTTCTGCCCCTCCCCCCACTCACCTGCTCTCTAGCTCTCTCTCAAATAAATAGATAAATATTTTTTTAAAAAAGATTAGATAGAGAATTCTCGTGAGAGAACTTGGTTTTGTGACACAAGCGACCACCATGGACAAGTTTTAGGACATCCAGGTTGCAGTGCTACAAAAGTTTAGGGTGGAACTTGGTCCCTGATCATATCTTCCAATACAAACAGGACAGCACACAGACCCCAAATTAAATAGAGGGTCTGAGACTGCAAAATGTGTTTAAAGAATATCCCTCATTCTGGGCACCTGGGTGGCTCAGTTGGTTAAGCGACTGCCTTCGGCTCAGGTCATGATCCTGGAGTCCCGGGATCGAGTCCCGCATCGGGCTCCCTGCTCAGCAGGGGGTCTGCTTCTCCCTCTGACCCTCTTCTTTCTTGTGCTCTCTGTCTCTCATTCTCTCTCTCAAATAAATAAAATCTTAAAAAAAAAAAAAGAATATCCCTCATTCTATACCCTAATCAATATGTTACTGGTAGACATTATTTACTCCAGAACACCTATAGCCATCTCCAGAGAGCCTGCCATTGTCTCTAGACTAGTTAAACTATTTTAGAAATCTGTGACAATTCAAGTCATTGTTATTGCAATAATGTGGGCTAAGGAAGACCTTGTTTGAATTCTTAGGAATTTTGAAAGTCTCAATTACATAGTAATAAATACATATAATCACTTAATAAACCTCCTTTAAAACTTTTTTTTTTTTTTTCATCCATTCAACCAGGAGTCATGAGTCAGGAGTTTTGATTTGTATTCCCCACTCTGGAACTAAACCAGTTCTGTGAGACAAGCAAGTCAAACTTTATGTAATCCTCATGTTCTCCCTCAGGAGAGACGGGGGTATCCATATTTGCTATATGCCTACATATTTGTTCATTGCCGTGCTGCATTGGAGTGAAAAGTATAAGACACGGGCTCTACTCTCAAGACAGGTACATTAACCATTAAACATCACAAAGGGCAGTATTCCTTCATTTAACACATATAAATTGAGTACTTCCTATAGGTTAAGCACCCTGCCACATGCCACAAAGATGGCTCTGGACACCATTAATGTCCCCCAGTGCTGTGGGCATTACAAGGAAGCTGTCCCTGGAGTTGTCTGGAAAGTGATCGTGACAGAGGTGGTGATGGGACTAGATTAATAAATTCAGGCAAATGAGGCAAAGTGCAAGGAGGTAAATAACTAATAATGTCGTTTATTAAACTTTTATATAGCAGATACTGCTGTAGGCTTTGCATACATTTATAACTGACTCTTGCAAAAATACAGTGAGGTGGATATAACTTTCCCCATTTTATAGTGGATGAAATTTACTTGGCAATATTTTAAACTTACCCCAGCAGGCTGTAGCTCTTCCAAGATCATACAGTAAGTGAGAGAGTCAGGATTTGAATCCAGGGTCTGTGCCCCTAATCAGCACTACTCTGCCTTCTAAGTGTTTGTTAAACAAACTCCAGATATTTTGTTAATGCAAAGTGATTTTTAGTCATGTCACAACCCCAGCATATGAAATCACAAAAAAAGAATATCTTTTATTTTCAGAACTTCCATCTATGAGTAACTCAGAAATCTATATCCCTTTTCCTTACTCCTAGAGATCCTTTTTTTTTTTTCTTTCTTTAACTGTAGTTTGGTCTTTCTCCAGTCAGCAGTTTTACCAATGATACCTGGTAATAGAGGGTGTGGTGAGGTTAAGAGACCACTAATGAAAATTTTATGCCATTTTATTTTAATCATCATCCTAAACATGAGCACATGTAGCATAGCCTCATTAGCTATTCGACGTGAAAACTTGGACCAGCCATCATTTACACATGCATTCAATATAATGACTAAAGGTGAACAAAAATTTAAGATATGGTTTATCTGCATCCGAATGTCTTCTTTTGTTCTTCAACTGCCTAGAAAATGTGGAGGCATATACATAAAACATAGAAATCAGGATGCTTATCCCAGCAGGCTACAACTAACTGCCCTTGAATGGGTAAGAAGAGCATGCTGACTTATGTCCACATGTCTATTAAGGCTCAGTCTCATTTTTAAATTCCCAATTTCCCTTCTGGCTATTTTTTCTAGGTGTTTTTATTTCCTTTACCTTTTTTTTTTTTTTTTTTTTGTGGGGAAGGGGAGTTGGGAGGTAGGGGAGAGTGGGAATTCCAAGTAAGAGACCACAACACAAGGAAATGAATACACCTAGAAAGCTGGTGTACTTGTGTAATCCCAAACCTGGTCTCCTAAATATTTGGTAGACTACTTATATCCCTAACCTGTTATGTTTTCAACATTTTTGCAAAAAGGATTTTGCAAATTAAAGGGAAGACCGCATTCACCCAAACTTTAGATGGTTACTATAGTTAACATCTGGGCTGTGTCCTGACGTCAGCGCTGCAGTGATGAAGTCCAGATGTTATAACTTAGCAATGTTTTTGTTACTTCTAAGCATCTGCTGCCTTTGTTGGTTTTGTTTTGTTTTGTTTTGTTTTTTCAGACTCTAACTTCTTAAAAATGAAGGTATTAGAGAAGGAGGGGAGATGAAATTAGCATACGGCGTGGACCCAGAGTAGCTGAATGCCTCCCCTTTTGAACACAGTCTCAGGCCATCACAGAACGTGCAGCCTGTGGGAAGGCAGGCTCCAGGGCCTGCTGAGATAAGGATATTCCCATTCCGTTGCTATTTTCAGTTAAAACAGTCTATGTGATTGACTAATAAGTCTACTCATGTTTAATACCCGATAGGAAGGAAAGAGGAAAAGGAATTAAATCAATAATAAATATTCCAAAATGTTTACAGTTGTTGACTTTTAATCTGATTTTAATTTTATATATCCACATACATATATATCTCTACATATATAAGCACCACACACACACACACACACACTGTTTTTATTGTTCTAGAAGAGGGGAACCAGCACTCACAACAGCAACCACATTACAGCAGAGCCATTTCCAATGAGCAGCCAAGGACAGGTTGAAAAAGGCACTGTTACTCCCTAACATCCATGTGAAGAAGTTAAGAAAATCTCCCAAAACGATTTCTTCCCTCAAAACCCATTTTAGTTCTATATCCATTAATTTATCTAAAATATTCACATGGCTAATCATATTTTTAACTGATTTCCCTTCTTATGCTAATGAACTCCATATGCATTCCAAACATTTTATTACTTGGTGTTAATAACTCAGCTTTGGTTTAACCTGAAACTATTCTTACAACTTGCTAGGAGTTACCCCAAGTTCTGTTCTATTATTGCAAGTTTTGGGGAACAGATCATATGATAGCCTCCCATTTTTCTCAGTCCTTTAGATGATTTTGTGTGAACATTTTAGATGCTTTCTAGTTTGTTAATAGTCCTCTTTAGTAAACAAGATACTTTACATGTACTCTGAGCAAGGTAGGATATGGTAGGAATTCCTCTCTTGTTCTAGGCCTTATGACAATATTAGTATAACCTATAATTGCAATACATTTACTCTTCATATCCTTGTCACCTACACCATATTGATGGTTCATTTTAAGCTTGTGATCATGTATAAGCAGATCTTTTTAACATGAAATAGAATCCTCAAGCCTTTTGTTTCTGCAGCAGAGTTTTTTTTAGGCCCAGATATAAGGTTGGCATATGTCCCAGTCAAATCTAATCTTGTTCATTTTACATATACCTTCCCTTACCCATCATTTCAGCCTATTGAGATAATTTGGAGTCTTTATCTCTTCATATATTAGCTTTTTATTTCAGCTTTGTGACACTCATAGACTTTATAAGCACACCACCTGGAACTTTTAGTCAGGGACTTTGGCCTTAATTTAATCAAAATACTACTTAGGATATGATCAATGACAAAACAGAGATTTCTCTTTAGGTCCGTATTCATTTTTAATTGTCAATACTCCCTACAAGCCAGTTGCTCAGCCAAAATATGACTCTATCTAATTGTTCCAGCACCCATTCAGCCTAAAAGAACATCATTAAGATTTTGCAAAATGCTTTGCTGATATAAGGAGGCATGCCATTTCTCTGATTTACTCGTGTAATAACTTTATAAAATGGTATCAGGTATTATTAAGAATTGCTTTTTTGTTTAATTCTTGCATGTTTCAATATTTTTACTCCAACTATGTTATCTTTAATAATTAGCATGTACCTTTATTTGTATAGTATTTTACACTTAAAAAAATACTTCAACATAAATCACATTCATAAAATCCTTTTAAACAGATTAAGAAAACATATATGATTATCTTTGTTTTATTTTTTTAAAGATTATTTTAAAGAGAGAGAGAGAGACTTGCGGGGGAGGAACAAGGGGAGGGAAAGAGAGAATCTCAATCACACTCCCTGCTGAGCATGGAGCCCAACACGGGGCTTGATCTCAGGACCCTGGGCCAAAATCAAAAGTCAGATACTTAACCAGCTGAGCCACCCAGGCACCCCTGATTATCTCCATTTTAAAGATTAAGAAACTGAAGTTCAGAGAGGTGGCTAGAATCCAGATCTTGTTATTTTAAATACAGTTTTGATTTTTGTTTTTTGTTTTTTTTCCATGATACCACAGCTAACAGGATTCAATTGCATTCTATTTGCATGGTTAGGTGCTCAATGAATATTTTTTGAATAGATAAATTTGTTCAAAAAATCTTTCTATCCAAGGACTTTGCCTCAAAGCATTTTGCCATTTAAAAGAGCTGGCCAATTTCTCCAAGAACAAAAATTAAGCTCCATTTTACTAGCAAGTGCAGTAACAAGAGTTGAACGTGTAAATAAATACAGTAGGTAATTTTTTAAGAGTCTGTATGTGTGGTATTTATAATATTTAGAACTGTGTTTTCCAAATCCTGGCTTACAGACTGGTGCCAATCCAGGTTGAAATTCCCAATGATCTGCAGTAAAATGAGAAAATAAGAGGCCAATTGTTATCAACTGAATTGTGTCCGCACCCCATGTATATGTTGAAACCATAGCCTCCAATGTGACAGTATTTGGAGATGTAATCCGTAAGGAGGTAATCAAGGTTAAATGAGGTCATAAGGTTGATGTCCTTATAAGAAGAGCAAGAGATACTAGGAGTGAGCTCACACAGAGGAAGGCCATGTGAGGACCCAGCCAGAGACAGCTGTCTGCAAGCCAGGAAGAGAGCCCTCACCAGAAACCAACCCTGACAGCCACCTTGATCTTAGACTCCCAGCCTCCAGAGCTGTGAGAAAATAAATTTCTGTTGTTTAAACAAACACCCAGTCTGTGCTCTTCTGTTACGGCAGCCCCAAGCTGACCAACAGCAATGTACTGAATTTTTAATCGTATCAAATGTACTCAGTTTAAAACCCTGTCCTTTTTCTGCCCTTCTTACTTTTTTATTGTTATTAATATATCCTCGCTTATGAACTAGGGTGATGATAGAGGTTGGTTTTGGGTGATGTAGATTAATACATTCACTTAAGATAGTAAAGGTTAGCAATTCAATCCTGTGCCCATATAGTTTGGAAACGTTACTAGTCTATGGTATCGGTAAGTGTTAGAGGAGACCGTGTGAGTGTAGCAGTGATGATCTGACTTCAGCTGACTTCAACCAGGAGAACTCTGATCTACAAAGAACTAAGATCTTTGCGAAGCTTAGTGCAGCAGATGGGAACAATATTCTTCTGGCAGGGAGCAGCAATATTTTGGGTCAAAAATGATCAAATCATATTAAAGCTTTGTAGAAGCAATATTGAGTGGAGCAGAATCATTTGGTAGAACTTTATATGGAAATGTGTATTCAAGAAACCCCTACTGATCCTCTCCCACGTGCCAGGCAGTGTCAGGCAGTGAGGATACACCAGTGACCGTGGCACATCCCACGCACAGAAGGGGCTCACGGTCTCGTGCTCAAGACAGTGAGGGGAGTGCGGTGGTAGAAATGGGGCCAGTGTCCCAAAGCAACTCCAGATGAGGCCTCAACGTCCTGGCAGGCAAAGATATTTCAGGGAGAGTGGATGGCATCCAAAGACGCAGGAAGTGGTCACATGTATGAAGGAGGTGACAACATCAGTGGAGACATTTGCCTGAAAAGGAAAAAAGAATGATAAATGGGAATAGTCTGGGGTGGGAGATAATGGCTTCGGGGTATGTTCTGGTTTTCTGTTTATTGCTATTTTTGTTATTTTGGCGCTCGGGTTGTTTGTTTTTTAATCAGGGCGAGAGAGACAGGCTGAGGGGAAGTTGCCAGTTAAAGTAGGGGTGGGGTGGGGGGAAGAAATGGAAGCTGAAACTCTGAGTACGGGCTAAGAACATTGTTGAGGTAGGACTTGAGATAGGTGAAAGGCACGGTGAAGGAAAGTCTTCGTTAGGAGGCGTGCAGCCCCACCCCGAGACCAGTGGAAATGGGACAGAGATTGCTGTGGCAACAGATAACTTGACAAGGAGTGTCTGGGGAGCTGAGATAGACCATAGCCCATGGCCTCAACTTTCTTACTGCAGCCCCTGACAACACAGTCTGCTAAAAATGGATCGGGGCTTGAGATGAGTGGGGGAGGTTCAGAGGAATCGAGGAGGAATGGAGAGGGTCAAGTCCAAAAATGAGGTTAGGGTGCTTGAATTGGTGATGACTGTGATTTACAAAGCATTGGCATTTTCTCCAGTAATAATTTGCTACCTTTTCAGGGGAGAGAGGGAAGAAAGGGGGGATTGCGGGTTTAATTCAGTGTGGAGGTTTTCCTGGTTGAAGGCACTGAAGAAGCAAGAATCCAGGGAATTGAAGGTGCATGCCAGGAATAAATGACAGGCACAACCAGAAACCCCCTATGGGCAGGAGATAGGATGGGAGGCTGCGTCCAGATGGGAGACTGAGTCCACAGTTGAAGACTTACGAAAGAATGATGCACTGTAGGGAATAAAATGGCATAGATGGATGCCCAGTGATGGCCTTGGAGTTGCAAGGTTACAGTGTGTGTAGGCTGTCTACCAGGACCTTGCCTCTTCTGATGAGGCTGCCGAAGTTGGAGGGAAAGGGAAATGTGTGAACCGAGTGCTAGTCTTCAGTGAAAAAGGAGGAGCAATGGGAGATGCTCGACTGAGGAGACCGGCGAATAAGGACTGGGAGACAGCAGCTGAGAGAACTTCTCAGAAGCCAGAGAAAGCTGCACAAGAAGAGGAGGGGGCAGGAGTGGCCTGGGTTTTCCATTAGGACCAGGAGGTGGGGAAGCTGCTGCCCAAGTTGGGGATGTGAGAGAGCACGGGGAACAATGAAGTGAGGCCAGTGGCCCAGGAACAGGGGGTGGGAGGAGGGGAAAGCCAGGAGACAGGAGTGAGGGAGTGCCACGCAGCAAGGTGGGAGAGATGCTTTTGTGACCTCCTGAGCACCTGGCCAGGCCGACACAGCTGAGGACCAAAAGTAACCAAGGGCCTGCCTTCCTGGAGCTTCGGTATCACACGGTTGGCCATTCATTTCATAACTAAAGATTACAGCGAGCAGAGGCATGGTCTCAGGTCAGGGCAAAACTATAGCTAAGCATTTACACGTTGCTTACCCGAAATTGCCATAAGCAATCTCCCACTAAAATGAATGCAAACCAGAAGGTGCTTTCAGCTTCGAGCAGTTCCAGGTAGGACTATGAAGCTAGTTACAATATTATTAAAATATTGCTCAGTTTGGTTAGAAAATTATTCTAGAACCATTGTTAGCCTTAAGTCTGTGATAATTCATCTTAAATACAAAGCAGGTCTGTTCTTTGCCCTTGTTGGAGCATACCTGTAACATACCTTGGAAGTCAGGTATTTGTGCCAATTTGGGGCCGTTAGACATCATGGTTATGACAAGCGGTATTATGTGACAACTAAGAATAACTGGTGGGGTTTCAGTTCTCATTCTGCCACTTACATAATGTGGGTAACTATGGACAGGTTCCTTAGCCTCTCTGTGCCTTAGTGTCCACATCTGTAAAATGGGCATGACGTTAGCGCATCTACCACACAGGGTTGCTGTGAAGATTAAGTGAGTCAGAAAAAGCAAAGCACTTAGAAAGCTGTCTGGCACATTGGAAGTGCTAAGTAAGTGTTAACAGTTACTATAATTGCACATAATGTGACACGCTTCGAAAGGTATTATATTGTCTATAGTCAGTCCTGCTGGCAAAGTATTGGCTGTGCTGTCTTTGCAGTTGCAATCCTGACCTAGTAACAACTGTGCCAAATTGCACAAGCAGACAGTCATGTTTGGCAGTGCCTGAAGTTTTGACTGTTAATGGAACAACTGGAACTTTTACTTGGCACCCAACCAAACAATGAATCGTTGTCATCATCTCAGCAGTATTTTTGCCTCTTGTCTCTTGATTTGCAGTGGTCATGCATTAAATACCTGTGAAAAGCAACTTACTTCTGGGCGATAGGTGAAACTCCTTGCAACGTGATTAAGGACATGGGATATCTGGATGGTATGCTTGTTAACAGCGGAGTCTGTTTCTGCCTGTATTTAAGAGAGACACTCAGTCTGGGTTTTGTTCAGCAGAGTTTTGCAATCAAGGGTCACTTCTAGGTGGGGCACTGTACTGACAACAAAACAGGAATGAACAGTATTTATGATCTAAATGATGGGATGCATTGGCCCGATGCACTGCTTTATTCATTCAACAAATATTGTAAATATGTTTCAGGTACTGTGCTAGACCCTAGGACATAGCCCTGCTCCCTAGACTATCTGCAGATACTTAAATATGGACTCAGACAAGTGTGATAAAGAGATGAGCAAGCCAGTGGTATGCAAGTGAGTGCTGGATGATGGAATGTTGTCGTGTGAAGAAAAAATCATTTGACTTATTCTACTTTCATAGGTATCTTTATTACAAACACGGTTGGAATCTAGATTGGTGTGGACTGCTATCCGTGTACTCTTTGGTCAACAAGATTTCTGAGTGGTATTCATTTTGAAATATTTTTTGAGCACCAGATTCTTCTATTTCAGATGAGGTACACACACGTAAACACAATCCAGGATGCTGCCGTATGACCGAATCTAGCCAATACCAGGAATCCTGGTAAATGTTGAACCATTAGGAACTTCACTCTATACTAATGGTATTTCTATTGTCATCTTAATTCCTAATTTTCTGTTGATCAAATCAATCCTATCTAAACAGTTAGCTGGGAATCCTATAGAAAAAGAAAGTCTAAGATATTTAAAAAGGCATGCTTTCAGACCTTTAGAAGCAAAGTTTTTTTTCTCCAAATGAAAACTGCATAAACGAAAATGTATCTTTAACTTCAGTTTCTTCCTTTAATTTGCCATTGTTGCAAAGGGCCTTTAAAAATCTCAGTTCCAGGCAGAAGTATGACTGGATTCCTTCTACCTGCCCAACTGCCTTCTCTCATAATTATGCGTCCTCAGGACCACCTCCCTGGTCCAAGTTTTAGCTTCTTCTGCAGGTTGTTTAAAGTGTTATTTAAAGCATCTTACAACGTTTTACATCCACCTGAATAACGTCTGATGGCAGGGTCTGGGGTCTGGACAGAATTGAAATTCGGAGCCCCTGAGACAATGATTTGGGTGCAAGGGGTATATTTAAGATGTGGCCCCAGAGACACACTGAAGGAAGGAGGAGAGCTCGGAAAGTGAGGGGAGCCTACGAGGGGCTAGCAAGCAGCTTGCAGCCGGGATCCTGTGTTCCAGCTACCCCACTGCAGAACTGCCCCGGAAGTCAGCCATGTAAAAGCTCCACCCACGATGCTCGCAGACTGCATGTCAGGAGTTAGGATGGGCATGGGGGCCTCTGCCTCTCAAGGTCTGGGGCCTCCACTGGAAAGTTTCAAAGACTGGGATGCCTCCACAGCTGGGGCTGGAATCACCTAGATGTTTCTTCAGCAGCGTCTGGGGGTGGATGCTAGCTGTTGGGTGGCACCTCGGCTGGGGCCCAGCAGAGCACCTACACGTGGTCTCTTCACACGGCCTGGACTTCCTCCCAGCACCGCAGTCTCAGGGCAGTCAAGCTCCTTACAGGTAGAACAGGGCCCCAGAACGAATGTCCCAGAGAACAAGGCCAAGCAGCCTCAACTTTTCTAAGCTAACTCTTCTAACCACATTGTGTTGGTTACAAGCAAGTGATGATCCTGCCAGGGCACCTGGGTGGCTCAGTCGTTAAGCGTCTGCCTTCAGCTCAGATCATGATCCCAGGGTCCTGGGATGGAGCCCTGAGTCCAGGGAGCCTGCTTCTCCCTCTCCCTCTGCCCACCCCCGCTTGTGTGCGCTCCTCTCTCTCTCATTCTGCTGTCTCTCTCAAATAAGTAAATAAAATCTTTTTTTTTTTTTTTAAGTGATGATCCTGCCCTAATTTAAGGGGAGGGAAAAATAGAGGTCAATTCTCAGTGGAAGTATGTCAAAGAATTTCTAGCATTTTTTCTAAAAACAAAACACACCAAAAAAATCTGTCACAGTGTAGGCAACCATTTCCTTCTTGACTAGAAGCATCAAAGGGAAGGCAAAATATGAAATAACAAGTAATTACAATATAACGAGTAGATAATTACAATATAACATAACATAGGGTGATCAGAAACAGGTAGGTACAAAGTATAATAGGATCACAGAGGAGTGACACTTAGCTTCGTCATGGGTTCAGAGAAAATGGATTAACGTCAATCCAATGGAGGTAGGGAGGAGATTTCAAGTAGGAGAAATAAAAGCAGCCGCTCGGTGTATGCAGTTTGGTAAAGTGGAATGTGGAGAGTGGCAGGTGAAAGTGGAAACGGAAGGTCATGAGAAGTCTTGAGTGTCATATTAACAGGCCGGACCTTATTTTCAGGCAGTGTAGAGTCATTAAGGGTCATTGTCAGTATCTAGAGTAAAGATTATGAAAGCCTGAACGGAGTATATAGCTGGAGCTAACTAGTAGGGGTGGATTTGAGAAATATTAAGGACGTAAAATAATCCTGGGGGGTTAATTGGGTGGGTGGAGTGTAGGTTTGCCACCAGGTTCTGACCCTGGGTGCTTGGAGGTGTGCTGGTTCCAGTGAGACAAGGAATTGTGTAGGATGAATTGGTTAGGGAGGAGATGGTGAGGATGAGGTCCCTGTGGCAGTGCAGGTGCCCGTGGCCAGTGGTCGCGTGTGTGTCTGAGTCTAAACTTGGGAAAGAAGGCAGGGCAGGAGAGATCAACTTGGGAATGATCAGCAGATAGGAAAAGAGAAAGTCTAAGAAGGATACATGGAAAAGACAAAGCAGCTTTTTTGGCTTCAAGAATGCAGATGTTGCTAATAACTTGAAGTAGTTCAATTTTCTTGATGATGAAAACAAAGTTCCATGTTGAGAGAAGGTGGAGCCCAAATACTGAGAACAATTTTTAAAACAAAGAGAAACAACAAATATGGATCCTACAAAGGGGATGATAAAGTTTTCTCTGTTGGTACTGTGCAAGTCTTTGTAATTGTTCCCAATGCCCTCTACTTGTCCTCAGAAATTCTAACCCTGAGTCCCACTCATGAAATAGGTGAAAACATTGCTAAAAACATGTTAGGGTCATACTCTGTATAATCTCAAACACTGTCACAGTTGACTTCGTTCCTTCTGATCCACATACGTATTGCAGAATCACTAAACACGAAAATCATTAACCATCTCCAAATTTAAATCTTCACAAATGGAAACATCTATAATGAAATGGAAAGAGGTTATCTTTTTTTGTCTTTTCCCTTGGTGTTTAGTGTTCATTATTCCAAAACATCTCAACAATCCATATTTGTGTGTTAGTATGAGTTTCCACCAGGCTTCCTCTGTATATCTTCCTTACTTTTCGAGTCTGAATGACAAAGAATTCAGAATATTGATGCCCTAAGAAAGATGTTTTTCCAAGAGGAATTGGCAGGGGAACAGAATGTGTTTGAAGACCAGGAAGACAAGAAGACCAAGCCTGTCCTTCATATGATCAGGTGCTTGCCTTACTCAGTATAATTACTGTCAGGTAGGCATGCACAAGTTTGGGTTTTTGGTTTTTGTTTTTGTTTTTGTTTTTTTTTCCACCCATAAAAGGGTTTCTCCTAGTTAAAAGGGTTGAAAAACCACTGGTTAAGATAATCCTAATCTATGGATAATCCCCACATCTTCCCTTCAATGGCTCCAATTGCCTTCCCCAAGAAAGCTCCCATCAGAGCTCCTAAGGGTGAGCCAAATGGACAGATCTAAGCTTTGCCCCCTCTTAATGAAGCATAGCAAATGACCAAAAGGCAAGCTGCTGAAAGAGAAATGAAAGGAACCCAGGGTCTGTATATTCCAAACTGGCTAATTGGCCCCTGAAAGATAGTGAGTGGTGTGCTAATGCCTCTTACTTCCTAACAGCTCAGCAGGGCCTCCATGGAAGAATCCAGCACCAACTGGGGAGGGGGGGGTCACTGCAGAAGGAGAGATTCTCAACGGTGTCCTTTGTCCCTGTTGAAAGAACTGAAAGCCCCTCTTCACAGTGTTACTTTGCCATTTAGAGGGCTTGGGGGTGAAGGGGAAGAAGGAAAGGGGAAAGCTTTTCTTACATTTTCTCTGCCACGTTCATAGAGACTCCTACCAAAATATTAACTTTTGAGATATCTTCCTTTTATGGTCTCCCAGTTGAACTCGATCTATAATATAAAAACATACAACAGGGTATAATGAGTTTGGAAACCAGAAACCAAGGAAAAAGGAAAATGTGGCCCCAATCGAGCTGAGAATTTTAGCATAGGAAAACTTGTATACTTGTGTGATGTAGCCTCCTGCACGTTCACACTCACGGTGTCTACAGTGGATATTTGCATAATACTACTCACCTAAGTGGCCTTTTCTTAACTCTTAATTGAAAGCACTTCTCACCTCTTTGGATAATTTGCAAGCATCTGCTTTCGTGTCAGGTGAAGAGAAACTCAGAGTGTGTGCTTGCGAGGATAATATAAATCCCCAGTGTGACCTCCCAGAGCCCCTTTATGGAGGTGTAGTATCTCTCAACCAAATGTTGAGTCTATGCAAGAATAACTGGGGTGGAGAAGAGCCCCACTGCCTCCCTCTCTCCTCATGCATTTACTTCCATTTTCCCTTCGACCTTCCCTACCATCTCTGTCTCAGCCTCTGGAGCCTCATGAGAAGTGAGAGCCTAATACTATCCAGAACAACTTATAACCTAATACTTGGCATGCCAAACCACACTCACCTGCTGACCGTGAGACAGTGTGAAACCAACAGCCCAGTCTGTGTTGGGAAAGGATCAGATTTTACACAATTAGGGGTTTTCCCCATTCAGAGCAAAGATATTTTCAAATCAAAGAGACTATGTATATTTCCATTTGAATAAAAATCAGTCATTAATAACTTGGTTATCCAGAGTTGCTTTAAAACAAACAAACAACTTCACCCAGTGGTCTTTGCATCCTTTTCTCCTACCAAAATTAAAAACATCTTAAGGAAAGGTAGATGAACTTGTCCATGTGACCGTCCCATGACACAGATGAAGGTCATTTTTATGTTCCTTCAAACTGTACCTTTGCATCTGGTTAAGCTTCTTACGTGTTCTAAGGCCTCTGAGACTTAGGGGCCACTCTTATGGGAAAAGAGCAAGTCCCATCTGGTAAATGGCACAGAGGTACGCCCTGGTCTCCAGAGACATTACTCAAAGTGAAACTTCCATAGTAGGCTGCAGTTTGTTCCTTTGGAAGTTTCCATAAAGAGCTCAGGAAAAAAGAAAAAAAAAAAAGTCGCCCTAATCTTGTTCCCATGCATCTACTGTCCATTTGAAGATGAAGATTATTTATGTTCAGGGGGTACTGCGGCCCCTTAGATGGCTCTCCAGAGGCTGAGGGCCGAAGGGATGCACTAATGTTTATCACTGGCACGAGAACAAGCATCACAGAAATGCAGGATCCTTGGCTCGCCTCCCAAACTCTGCGTTCTCTCTGACTGACTTCAAGCCGCTTTGTAAATGGTGGTGTTGTTTGAGGAGAACATTTTCTCGCTGGGTTACAGTTCTATAGGAGTTGATTTTTTAACACTCCTCTTCTGGAAAACTTCCCATTTCTAATACTTCCCTTCGCTGGGTTCCCCTTTGAAGTAGGAGAACATAGCACAGGCCAGAGATTACATATCAGGATCGTTTCCCTCTTGAGCTCTGTGCCCGTGCGTGAGTGTGATTGTGCGTCTGAGTTGGTTAATTGTTTTGTTGGGTCCTAAGAGCGTGGTATAATGTTGGCCAGGATGCTGGATTCAGTCCCCGAACATTTCACACTGAAGAAGCCTGCTTTGCAGCTACAGATCCAGCTCACATCCCCAAATGATACCAAATCATTTGGCAGCTACAAGCGTGTGGTCAGTTGCAGAGCATGGCGTGCCGGACCCCAGTCTGATCTTGCCCTTACCTGAGGTTCTGGCGGTATAACCCAACATCAGCACCTGGCTTCAGTTATTTTGGATTCCCCTCTATTCCACACACATCTGTAGCAATCCCTTTCCCCTGTAATGTTCACCCTGGTCTTCACCACTGATTTGATACTATGTGAAGTGATGTTAAGAAGCCTCCCAGCCAGTTGCATGTAACTCTTGTAGTTGTTTCTTCACAGTGAGCAGTAGATAAAACATTTGCAAGTTGTTCTTGCAGACTAGAGATTACAAAACCTATTACCCTAGGTAGATAACACCCCAAATCCTCCTGCCCGATCTCCTTTTTATATAAAAAGAGAAAAACCAAATGGCTGTATATTCAGAAACTGACTTCCAGATCATACCACATTGCCTGGTTTTGTTCTGACATTCCGACTAGACTGCGCTCTGAAGGCAGGGACCTGTCTTAACTTAATCATACGCTGCCCTACCACCCGACAAAGTGCAATGCACACGCGAGGCTCAGCAGATGCCTTGCTCAGCTTCTGATCGTTCCAAAGTAAGTACATGCCCCTCCTGAAAAAACACCTCAAAGGACATGTACCTCATTGGGGAGGAATGACTTTTACGAGCTTCCTGGAAATTAGGCCGATTCCCTTTGCTAACTGTGTAACCCAGAGCCACAGTTGGGCAGGATATGCCCAGCTCAGGGGCTCTCAGCCAAGAGGACACCTGGGAGCAGGAGTCCAGCCTGTCCCTGGGTCTCTAAGCCCTGGGGGGGAGACAGCTCCAGCTGAAGAAGGGAGGCCTTTTTCTAATTTGTTAAAAGGTACTGATACCTCACTAAGCCACACACCTACGGGGCAGTGTCTCCTGAGAGGGCACCTTTTCCCAATTTATGGTTTTGTGTGGGTTAGCAAGGTTCAAGTATAACATAGGGAAAGGAAAGATGATCAAAATTAGTTTAGCGAGCTGGGAGATTTTAGTTTTCTTTTATCACAGAGTCTATATAGATTTCTTTTTAAGATTTCCTTTAAAAATATAAAAATACATCTGACTACCAATATAAATGCATGTGTTAACATATGTATATTTATACACAAACACACACACAGAACTTGATATGGGGTAAAAATGAAGATAACTGCAAATGAAATTTTTAGGAGCACAGAGCTGCCCAATATTTATTAACTTACTCAAAAGGATGTCAGAAGGAAGCATTTTTACCTGTTCATGATTCCTTCACTTATTCATTTATTCTTTCAATAGATGCATTAGGTTCTTACTGTTTAAAAATAATCAATTATAATGCAGGAAGAGATGTGCAACCTTGTGGTCAGAAAGGCCAGCAAAATGCTAGGGAGACAGAGCAGTGGAAAGCTTCATTCTCTCCTTTCAAAACAACTAACGGCATCTAAGGACTGCTGTGTGAGAATAATTTGTGTATCATCATAAAAGACCAGGGTTGAAAGGGACTTCGTAGCCATCTAAACAATCAGTCTTTTCACTTCACAGAGAGAAAATTGAAATCTGAAAAGGTGCAATGGTTTGTATTTTATTTCTTGTTTTAGAAATGTCAAATTATTTTCAGAAGCTACCATGTCTCCTCTTTCCCTCTGACTCAGAAGTCAGAAACATCTACCATGGCTTTGTTTTTTCCCTGCACTTAACATTTCACCTGGGGAAGCAGTAAATCCTTTTAGGTAGAGATAATCTCATAATATTGATCTCAAGTTGCATTGGTTTCGATAAGCTTTTCGGAATAAAAAGTGATTTTCCGGGGGCGCCTGGGTGGCTCAGTCAGTTAAGCGACTGCCTTCGGCTCAGGTCATGATCCTGGAGTCCCTGGATCGAGACCCGCATCGGGCTCCCTGCTCAGTGGGGAGTCTGCTTCTCCCTCTGACCCTCCCCCCTCTCATGGACTCCCTCTCTCTCATTCTCTCTCTCTCAAATAAAAATAAATAAAATCTTAAAAAAAAAAAGTGATTTTCCTTGCACCGCACACAATTTATCATAAATATTCCTAATTTATTCTTTTGGCTCCATCCATCTCCAAAGCGAGTACAATAAGATTTACTTCTCTCAGAGTTGTAACAGGAAGATTGTTAGAGTTTAATAATTTTTTTTTAAAGATTTTATTTATTTATTTGACAGAGACAGAGACAGCGAGAGCAGGAACACAAGCAGCGGGAGTGGGAGAGGGAGAAGCAGGCTTCCCCTCGAGGAGGGAGCCCGATGTGGGACTCGATCCCAGGAGCCTGGGATCATGACCTGAGCCGAAGGCAGTTGCTTAACCAACTGAGCCACCCAGGCGCCCAAGTTTAATAATTTTTTTAAAGGAATCCAAGAATCTATGGTTTGGTATACTCCAACAAATTACCATTTTTCTTTTGTTCACTGTCGACATGATTGTAGGCAATTTCCTATGGATGTGAGTAAAACAACTGTATGACAAGGCTGACAGGCTAATTAGTGGGTCCGAGATTTTAAGTTCTAATTCTGTTTTTTTTTTTTTTTAAGATTTTATTTATTCATTTATTTGAGAGAGAGAGAGCACATGAGACGGGGGAGGGTCAGAGGGAGAAGCAGACTCCCTGCCGAGCAGGGGCCCGATGCGGGACTTGATCCTGGGACTGCAGGATCATGACCTGAGCCGAAGGCAGTTGCTCAACCAACTGAGCCACCCAGGCGCCCCTTAATTCTGTTTTTAACATCACTTTACAAAGAGGAGCAGACAGAATCTTGTAATCATATCTTCCATTAGTTGAGATAACTCTACAATAACGCCATTCACTGATGTCAGACAATCACCTCAACTAAGATTGTTAAAAAGAATTGCACTAGTAACTATAACCCGTGAAGTTTATAGAAAATCAAAATCTGTAACAGTAAGTGTTGGAAAAGTGGATGAGATTTAAAGAGAGCATATCCAAAGAAAGGTTGATGAGCCTTGATCTTGCAACATTTTATGCTGATGCTGTCTTTGGCATTCTCTTAGTTATTTCTATATTTTACATGATTTTCTATGTTTTGTGTTCACAGAATGTATTTTAGATTTACTACAAATAAATTATTCAGAATTTCAAAAATGGGCTCCACATTAACTTCAGAAAATAGGTAATAACCTTAATTGCAGGGTTTTTTTTTTTTAATTTCACTTTACGTTTTACTGCTTCTTCCTTCCTCCTACTATTAAGGTTTTGTATAATAAGTACCAAAAGTTCTAATCTTCAAACAGTCCTTCTGAAGACTGTCAGCTATTTATAGTTCTTTCTTCTCTATTTTACTTTAATGGATGCTTTTAAAGCTGTTAGAAATTAAAGGTCGCCAAGGCTGAGTGTGTATGTGGCAATTTGTCCAAATTAACTTATTACTGTGGCCTGGTGGGTGATGATGAGCCATCTGGCTCCATTTCTTAGGAAATGTCCTCTATGAGGGTGATTTCTGGGAGCAGGTTTAATTACCTTTCATCTAAACAAAACCTCTCGTTATCCTGTGGATTAATTATTTTTAAATTTTAGTTCAGGAGGATCTGTCCTTCAGTATCTCATCTATTTCTACTGCACAAGAAAACTGACACAAATTATCCTCAGAATAGCTATTTTTATACGTGGATTTAGAATAACAGACTAAAGAAATTTGTCACTCTGTGAAAATGAAAAATGATAAAGATTAGAGATACTGAATATGCAAATTTTTTAGCCTTACACCTTGGAAATGCAATGTGTTCTCTCTCCTTTTTGCTTCTATATCCCACATGAAAAAAAGTACTGCTTTTAGACCCAGCTTTTACCTATCTTTTTTTGCAAATATAAATAAGGCCACCACCATCCGTGGCCCATTGAATGGGACTCCACAATCCAAAAGACATTAGATACTTCATTTTCACCCATAAAATTGGAGTAAAAGATGAAGTATACCTGTTTCTTTTACTGCTTCATTATTAAATGGACATCCTTATAAAAATGCAAGAAAACTCAACATGCTTCCATTATTAAATTATTGGGTACAACCCTACCACACTAAAATGACCAGAATATAACAGCCATTGTCAATTAATTGGCTGTTAATGAATGTATTATATGCTTCTATACAACTTACTTGTATGCTTTAAACAACTGGTTTTTCTTTGGGGAAACATCTGGCAAATATGATGAAGCAAATGTTAAAAGTACACAAATTACTCCATTTTCAAAATGCCTCTTTTTATTGCATAAATTTGCTAAACCTTACCTGTTAAAATTAATATACCATGGTAATGGTCACTTTTGGTAGAACATGTGCAATGATTACATATTGTCCTACCCACGTAGTGCAAATGAGTCCTGAGAGGGATCTCGCCATAGGCCATAGAGCATGGGGTTCGGAGTAAAGAAAAGTTGAGTTCAAATTCTGTCCATGCAGTTTAATAGCTGGGTGTCCTGGCAAGGTACTTAACTTTCCTGGATCTCAGTTTTGTTGTTCATTGCAAAGATAGGAATAATAATATTTCATTTATAGAATGGTAATTGTGTTTAAAGGAGACAACTGGTAAACCACTGACTGCAGTGGCTAGAACTCAGCTGACACTCTGGGAATGACCTTTCCTTTCTCTTTCCTTCCCTGAAAAAAGCAGAATAAGAGCAAAACTTCATAGACAAGGCTTGTCAAGGCCCCAGAATTCAGCCTTGCCTATCCATACCTTTACTAAGGAGTTCAAAATATCTTCTGGTTTGCCTTCTTTTCAAATACCTTATTTACAAATCAGTTGTTTGGGTTTGGGTTTTTTAAGATAAATCTCTCTTTTCTTTGCCAAGATTCCACGCCAAAGCAGCCTCCCCCCACCAAGATTCAACTTTTCAGCATTTGTGTGTTTTATCTTGCTCAGTGTGGCCTCAAAATGTAACCCATACAGCTCTCCAGCGTTAATTGACAAGTGTAACTGCCGAGCACCATTGTTTTAAGTGGAACCTAAGGCAGATGTTTATTTTTTTATTTTTATTTTTTTAAGATTTTATTTATTTATTTGAGACAGAGAGAATGAGAGGGAGGAGGGTCAGAGGGAGAAGCAGACTCCCCGCCGAGCAGGGAGCCCGATGTGGGACTCGATCCCGGGACTCCAGGATCATGACCTGAGCCAAAGGCAGTCGCTCAACCGACTGAGCCACCCAGGCGCCCCTAAGGCAGATGTTTAGAAAAGAAATCGAGCAAAGGTGTTTTATCACTTAACAGATATTATCCTGGCTAGACTCCTTTGCTCTAAGATGGTAGTGCTAAGAAACAATTCTCTTCATTTTTAATATTGTCTTTGGATTTCCATATGTCCAGAACTTTTCTTCATAGGCTAAGTGTGTTTTCTTAAGTTAACAATGTAGCTAAAATATAAATACTAATTAAGGCTGATTTCAGGATGCTAACTAGAATTAGACTTGGATGCTTATGTAAAGGGGAGATAGGCTTGAAATAGACCTACATTACATGGCTACAAACTAAATGTTTTGTTGGAACTTGCATTTGTCTTCATCTAATGGATGAGGGCCCAGTATCTAGTTTAGAGTTAACTACATTGAAGACAAATAAGTTGTATGAAAAATAACTACAGCCTGATCCATAATAAAGAAAGGAAACAGTACTTATTATAGCTTTTGAGTGAAACTTCTGAGGCATTCAGTGTTATCATGTTAGCCTCAGAGATAGACGATCAACAATAGAATTCATCTCCCTGCAACCAGATCCTCAATTCAAGACTCTTACTCTAAGGATTTATGGCACATGAAGGTTGTATTTATTTAATACCAGACAGCTGGATGAAAATGAACAAGTCAGGCGTGTCCCAAGTATCAAAACATTGTATTGACAAAATATCCAGAGGACAGGCCAAATTATGCCACTTTCATTCATGTGCTGAAATATTTTATTGAAACTGAAGCAATGTGATAGAAGATGAGGTGCATATTGATTGTGAGATTAGAGGACCTTTATTTGAAATTCCTGTGGAGTACATTCTTATCCTATGCAGTTTCTCTCTGTGGAATATACTCTGTGATCCAAATCAAATATTAAAAATAATATTCAGTCTTTAAAATATCTTGGGGGTTTTTTTGAGAAAAAAAATTGAACTGTTAGAAAAAAAATAAAACATCTTTAAATGTATTGAAATTTCTCTCAGCTAAAATTAAGAGTATCTGTCTGAAATGAGGCTAACGATGGCCATGGGCTGTAACCAAAGTAAACCAGGTTGTAAAGTTCCTATTTAGGAGTAGTCAAAAGTGTAAATATATACTATAATACATAGAATATTAATACATATACATATAAATAAATACATATAGTATTAATACATATGCATATAAATACATATAGTAAATAAATACTGTATTTTAATACTTTGTTTTGCTTAGTATGCCATTATTTCTCCCAAAATATTGTTGTTCCTTCAGAGAAAGCAGACAAATAAACAGAACCAGTAAAGGAAAGACCTTTATTTCCTTTATGTTAAAAAAAAAAAAAGCTTCACCTATCACGAAGGAGACAATGTAATGAGATAAATAGCTATTTCTAAGAATTTTGTTTAATACAATATGACATTTTATGCATGAACTAACTTGTACTTGCATTTAAAATTCCAAAACTGATGAGGTAGAGACATAAGTCTCTTGCAAGTGCCAAGGCAATATTCATGTCACTTGAAACAAATATGGGTAACGGGGGGCAGCTTTTCAGCCATGGCTTTCCTCACACACTAAGATTCTAGTTAAATCATCAGGTTGGACTAGCAAAGAAATAAGAATGACTACATATTTACTTCGTCTGTATGGCTGATGGAATCCTAAGCTGCCCGCATGCATTGTAGCCCATCCCAGCTTCAGCATCTACTGGTCTGGGACGGTCTATATTCCTCCACCCTGCATGCTTGGCTCTTTCCTCTCATGATACTATTTCATCCCTAACCCAATACGATGTCTGCTGTAGATATCAATGGCTGAATGCAATGGGGCCACCTCTTTTCATAGGAGAACAGCTGTTACCACACTGACCAAAGAACGAAGGACCCAAGAAGGGCCATTGTGATGGTCTTAGAGTGAACAAAAGTAAACACAGTGGGCTAAATGGGATGTGCCAGATTTGCAGGATTCTTGGGTTATTTGTTTTCTGGAGACACCAACATTTGGACATAGCAGCCTATAAAAAAAGTCCACAAAGGTTCCCTTTGTAAAGAAAATGCAACTCAGTGTATCTGCATATTAAAAATCATGGTTCGGGGCGCCTGGGTGGCTCAGTTGGTTAAGCGACTGCCTTCGGCTCAGGTCGTGATCCTGGAGTCCCGGGATCGAGTCCCGCATCGGGCTCCCTGCTCGGCGGGGAGCCTGCTTCTCCCTCTGACCCTCCTCCCTCTCATGCTCTCTGTCTCTCATTCTCTCTGTCTCAAATAAATAAATAAAATCTTTAAAAAAAAATCATCGTTCACAGTTAATACTTTTGGTGAGAGCTTTCGAGGTGAAGATAAAAAAATTCCATTTGCAAACAATTAGAGGACAAGACATTTTAAAGTAATTAGAGCACAGTGATGTGGTCCATAAAGTATGTTGTGACCTTGGACAAATCCTATCTGGTCTCCTCATCTGTTAAATAAGAGGTTGGGCCAGATTACTGCTGTATCTCCCTGCTCTATCAACCTTTAGCTGGAAGTATACAAGATTGTAGAGGACTGAGGACCAATAAAACTAAAAGAAATTTCCAACTCTTTGCTTATCTCTGTTTTCTAAATTTTCTACAAGGAACAGAGATTCCTTTTGTAAATTAGGAAGTAATAACTGATCTGTATCCTTTTTTTTTAATATTTAAAATATACAGGAACAGAAAATTTAGAGATCATCTCCTTTAATAAATGAGGTCACAGAAGATTGAGAAGGTTGAGGAATTTGCCCAAATGTACACAGTAGTCAATGGTGAATCCAGGATCCTGACCAAATTCCTTTGACCCCTAGGCTAGTGCTCTTTGGTGATACATGGGAAGCATTAAACATGAAATGGCAGGATAAAAATCCTCACTTGATTTTTTTCATCTTCCTATCAGGATTTAAAAGAACATTGAGGACTAGCAATAAAACCAAGAATTTAAAGAACTTGAAGTCCAGGCACTGATTTGTAAAGTATACTCGTTCTGCAAAGGCTAGCCCCACTTTCTCCTGTACTTAGTACACTGGCCCAGATTAGGAAGGTCCCTTTCCTCTCCCTGCTCTGACCCACCCCCCCTTCCCTTTTCCACACCACAAACAAAGTGGCAAATGCCCAAATCCTTAGGCATGAATTCCTTCAAAAAGTCATCCTGAAAATGCTGTCTGTCTCTGGATCGAAGCCACCTTGACATACACTCCATTTAGGCAGCCTATCTCCCCTCAGCTCACCAAGTGCTAAAACCAAAAAGAGGAGCGGCATCAGCTCTCCTAGATGTTTTGCAACCTAATCTTGCTTTACAGTTTACGTTTAAAATTGCCATTATCATAAGACAGACAGACAGGCAATGACTTTTAAGTTTAAAAAAATGCAATAAACTAGTAAGAACAAATTGCTGCATGAGTCTGATTAGGATTTCCAAGGTGTTCTTCACTCTTGGCTGTGACCCTTTCTGGTATGCTGTCTGTTCACACCAGCAAAGACTGAATATCATATTTTTGAAGATATCCTATAATCACTATTTACTGGCTGAGAGTGCAAGAATCGTTTATTGGCTAGTATGAGTAAAACATCAAAGTCCTTTCTTAGAAAGCAATGCTGTTTCCCGCCTGTTTGGTGTGCATGAAATCAGTGAACCTAATAAAGCACGGAGGGCTCATTAGGAAGAGCAACAAAGTTTCCAGTGTCCTTTATGACCGTGCAGCCACCACAGTAGAGATCAAAGCCTCTGTCAGTGGTGTCTGTACATCTGTTTTCTTTTTATCCAACGTGTTATTTGGTTAGTTGTTTGACAACATCAAAGCTTTTGGCCATTAGGTTCTTTGGTCCACATGGGACCGAATTTATTTTACTAATCCATCTGGTCTAAGATATAAATGTTCCTAATAAGTGCAGGTCACCAATTTGAGGGAAATGAACACTTTCAGTATTTATCATTAGTTTTCAGGGGACAAGTTCTCTTTACGAGTCTGGAGGTAGAGAGCCTCTGAGCTCATGCATCTTGTGAAGTTAACAGTTTTCATTAAGGAAATGTCATGTAAACTTCTGAATCCAGGAAAAGGGATTCTCTCTCTTTCTTGCCTTTTCTCTCTCATTCTCTCAATAGCTCTACTAAGATAGAGTTCACATACTACAATTCACCCATTTAAAGTGTACAATTCAATACTTCTTAGTATATTCACAGAGTTGTGAAATTTGGGAACATTTCATCACTCCCAAAAGAAACCCTATGTGACATTGACACACTGTATACCTTAAACTCGTGCAATGTTATAAGTCAATTATTTCTAAATAAAACTGGGGGAAAAGATAAAGTGAGAGAGAGAGAGAAAAGGAAGGAAGGAAGAAAGGAAGAACGAAAGAAAAAGAAAGAAGAAAGAGAAAGAAAGGAAGGAAGGAAGGATGAAAGAAAAAGAAAGAAAAGAAAGAAAGAAAGAAAGGAAGGAAGAAAAGGAAGGAAGGAAGGAAGGAGGAACGAAGGAACGAAGGAACGAAGGAAGGAAGGAAGAAACTGTACCCATTAGTTGTCACTCTCCTTTTTCCCCCAAACCTCCCCCACCCTCAGTCCTAGGCAACCATTAATCTATTTTCAGTTTCTGTGGATTTGCCTATTCTGAGTATTTCATATAAATGAAATTATCCAATCTATGGTCCTTGATGACTGGCTTCTTTCACTTAGTATAATGTTTTCAAGGTTCCTAATGTTGTAGCATGTGTCAGTACTTTATTTCTTTTTATTGCCAAACAATACTCCATTGTATGTATATATTAGATTTATTGATTTATCAGTTGGTGGACATCTGGGTGGTTTCTGCTTTTTAGCTATTATGATTAATGTTGCTGTGAACATTCATGTACAAGTTGTGTGTACATAACTTTTCATTTCTCTTGCGTCTATACCTAGGGGTGGAGTTCCTGTGTCATATGGTAGCTCTATTTAGTCTTTTGAGGAGCTGCAAGGCTGTTTTCCAAAGCAACACCACCATTTTACATTCTCGCCAGCAATGTTATGAGGGTTCCATTTCCTTTACATCCTCACCAATACTTGTTACTGTCTTCTTTTTTTTATTATTATTATAGCCATCCTGTGGTACGAAGTAGTATCTTTTTGCAGTTTTGATTTGTATTTCCCATTCTCTATGCATGGCTAATGCTGTTGAGCAACTTGTAGTGCTTATTGGCTATTTATATGTCTTCCCTGAAGAAATGTCCATTCAGATCATTTGCTCATTTTTTAATTGGGTTATTTGTCTATTTATTATTGAGTTATAAGTCCTTCATGTATTCTAGGTACAAATCCTTTATCAAATACATGATTTTCAAAATCTCTCTTTTTAATTTTACTTAAATGCTCTCTGGGAATTGTGCATTTCCTGTTTATTTGAGTAGGAGACTCCTTAAAAAGGAATCATGAGTCACAACAGAGGAAATAAAGTCTATTTCAGAATCCTCTTCTTGCCAAATATACAAAATCAAAGTGAAAAAAAAACTAATAATATTAGAACAAGAACTTAGTAAGTAAAGTTACCATGGCCATTTTAGTTTTGTTGCAACAGTAATTATTCATGTTTGTATACACAGTTAGAGTTTACAAAGTATCATGATATACATAATTGTTGTAATCAACTCTGTGAAATATTACAGTTATCCTGTTTACTAATAAAAAAAACATAGGGGAAGGGAAAAGGGGTGGAGACATTTAGTCAAGTATTTTGTCACACTTAAGACTAAATCCAACCTAAACACCAGCTACATAAATGTGAAAATATTCAGGCCAAAGTTCATTAAACACAATACAAAAGCCATCAAACCAGTTGTACAAATGATTTTTTTGACTATGCACATTTGTATGTGCTATCTGAATATGAGATGAGAAGTAAAACAACTGTCTCTGTTGCGATAAATTAGCCATAGTTATAATCACATGATATGAAACATCCAAAAAACTTGAACTTTTATCCTGTCTTGCAACACATAGGTCTTTTCCCCTGACCGTGCACACTGCTGTTGGGAACACAGTACAACCATAGAGGATATATCTTGAGTTTTTATCCAGCAGTGATGCATATACTCCTGAGAATAGTACACACTACTCCACAGTTAACTTGCTGTGTGACCTTAGGCAATCCACAAGCTTCTCCCAGTTTTATCTTCTTCATCTAGGAAATCCACTAAGATTCCTATTCCTGGCCTGTGTGGCCTGTAGGTTTCTGCTGCATGATCTCTCAGATGATAGGGGTTGGGACCTAAATACAAGGGGGGAAGAGCATAAGAAAAGATATGATCTTCTGGTATCCGAGTAGGAGGTAGCAATAATGACATGGTATTGCAGGTCTTATTGCTGGTCATCACGTGTGGCTGTATGTAAAAGTAGGAGGAGTTGTTTTTGTTAATATTATCGCTAAAGCAAGCAGGTGATACGGATTAGGCTCAGTAGGCAGTCCCGTTCCCCGTCCCCCATAGACTACACAGAGTACTTATGAACTATTTTTCATTTGAGCCCAATTTTCTGCCACAGTTGTAATGGAGATTACCATTTCACAGCATTAGTCCATGGAGTTCCAGTTTAGTCTATACCCAAGACTGATTCAAACCACTTGAAGGAGGTTCAGAAGCAATCAAGTCTATACCTAGAACAATCTACTAAAGTAGACCAGGATCTTTCCTCAGATCAATGCCCAAGCATTTTCCAGGGTTGCCAAGGTTCCAGAGCCAAGAGGAACTCTAAAGTTATATTAACGGCAGAAAATCAAATAGTTTCCATCCACATAAAGAAAAATATCCTCTGAAATGAGACAGGTCCCATGGTCTGACAATAGAGAATATTGTATATATAGACCATCCTGGAAAATCTAGAACCTACGATTGCCATATTTTTGTGACTTTCAAGAGATGCCATTAGCATCTTCCCCAAAGGACAGACTGGTGGCTTGGGAAGCAAAGTTCACACTTCCAGAATTTAAGTTCTGAGCCTGACCACGCAAGCAGATTGTGCGGTCCACTGTGGGAAAGGGTAACTGCTCTCTGAGTCAAGTTTAGTCAGTCTATTGACAGTTATGAATATTAAATAAAACAGTAGGGCAGATCTCTTTGGATTATAAAGTGCTATATAAATCTATGTGCTGCTCACTGTCATGTAAGAAACACTAATTTCTGTGTCTACCAGAATATGAAAGCATATGTGAAAATACCTTTAATTTCCCAGAGAAAACTAAAAATATAAATTAAAATTAATACTAACCAAGAGTGTCACATTCAAATTGATTAATATATTTTTGGAAAAATAACAATTTTCCAATGGTGGAAAAAAAAAGGAAGTCTCCATTTTTTGGGGGGGGTGTTTTTTGCCAAAAATGGACCCTTAGACATGGAAATCTCACCTTCTATGTGCTGTACACTTAATTTAGAGTTTTTAGCTCCCTTTCAACCAGTGGTGAGATCAGAAATACCTGTGCAGGGGGAAAGGAGCGAATGAAATGTTTGCCCTCTGCTTGTAGGTGACAGCCAGATTGTTCACATTCCTTCCTGAACTCTGCTAGACAAATCTGACTTACCATGTCTGGGAAATCTTCAAATGTAAATGTGATGATGACATTGGTTGGAGTGCCTGAGGAAGGAAGCCTTTGAAAGCGTCTTAGGGCTACTTCAGCAATCCAGGGGAAACTTGCTCTTAGTTAAGAGCCACTTTGCAAAAGAAGTATGATTTTCTTAAAGGCAGAACTCCCAACTTTACATAAGAATATCAGCTTTCTATTTAAAGTCACAGAGAGGTATAAAAGAAACAGACACTTCAGCCCCATGCAACCTATGCAACAGACTTTTAATTCCTTGAGATTAAGTGGCTGGGCTCTCCAAGAATTCTTCAGATTGGCCTTTCATAGGAAAACTCATTGAAAACCTATCAAAGAAAAGAATGACAGAGGCCCTAATCCAAGAGCCCATCTTCTGTAATCACCTACAAAATTCCTTTTGGTTTTGTCCTTGGAGGTTAACTTACTTAATGTATAATACTATGATGGGCTAAGTAACTTGGCCATTCACCCTGGGAGGAGTAGCTATCATAGAAGTAGCAGGAGGAGAGAAAACATATAAGCACTCACTCCTATGGATACCGCCCTGTCTCACCTTTACTGTACACCCTGTCCTGTGCTATTATTGGGGGAGGTGAGGAAATACTGTTTAGGAGGAAGCAGCTCCTTGAGTAAGGATGTGGGCAGTGCAGGAAAAACAAATCAGAACCTTCCCAGAATAGAATTCACCTTTGACTACCACTTCAGGCTCCTCGCCCCATGTCCAAGTTTTGCCAGACAGGGCTACACATGTCAAAACCTGTCTGAGCCTGCCCTTCCCCATAAACAATCATGGATATTTTTCTGAAATTAATGTCACTGGCATTTGTAGCTCTCAAATACTACTTAGTTGTCCTTCATAAACAGATGAGTCTGCACCATTTGTTCTCACTTTGCAAAGAATTTTACATACCCCCAACAACAGCAGAGAAACAAAAAATTAATGAGATTTAGGGGCCAGCTATTTCATAGATAAGCTGTTTGACCAACAGGACTGAAATCTGCTTGTGGACAATGAGATCCTCTAGAAAATAGACTGGTTTCATGTACATGTCTCAAAAAACCAAGATACTCATTGTTTTTATAGAAGGTTCACTATTTTTATAAAAGCTGCATGGTTGCTTTATAGAGCAAACAAATTTAATTTCCCCAAAGAATTTCAGCCTCCTCGGAAGAGTAAATGAGTATTTCTTGCATTCACCTGGCTCTAAGTAACTTCTTGTTTTGTTTTGTTCTGTTTTGTTTGGCTTAAACAACAAACATTTATTTCTCCTGGTGCTGGAAGCTCAAAAGTCCAAGATCAAAGTGCTGGAAGCTTCAGTGTCTGATGTGAGCCTACTTCTCTTTTCTTTTTTCTTTCTGCCACCAGAATCACCCTTAATGGTCCATCACGATTACTTTTTGTGCTTAGGCTTTTTCTAGCATGCACCTCAAATCTTTCCAGCCTCTACTATACCCCAGCTCTAGTCACTTCATTTTTCTGCTCACAGACCTTCCTCCACTGTTTTTAAAATAAAGTTCAAATGCTTCTGCTTGGCACTGAATGTCTCCATAATCTTGACCACTGCTTTACCAGCTTCCTCACATTTCTTATATTCTACATTCCATTCACCCTGTCATGCACATTCGAGTATGCAGCATATTTTCCTATAATTTTTCCATGGTTAGCTCTTAAAGACCTCTCCTTAGAAATGCCCTATTTGCCAGTGCAAGCCATATAGACATCTCTGTCTTCCAGAAGGTGGTGAAGGACAAATGTGATATATGACATACGCCCAGTAAAAAACCTCGGGCTCTAATGACCACCACACTTTAAAATTGTGAGGTATTAGATGGAAAGACTTTATGTGAAATACTAAATAACTTCTAATCAAAAGATCCCAAATGTTTTTATTAAAAAAAAAAAAAAGTTGTTTGTGTGCCAGTTATTTTATACACCCTCAGAACGCAGAGTCACTCCAAAAATTACATAATCTGATCGTGGCAATTCAGGGTAAAATAAATGCAAAAAAGAAACAGCTTCTTACACATACTTTCAGTACATTTTGCTTTTTATTAGAGTTGGTTTCAGACATTCTTCACATTTTTAGGAAATCTTTTGATTTGTTTCTGTTTTACTGTGTAATTTAAAACTCTCCACCTTTTACTGAAATGTACTAACCACTGAAAAATTAAAAGCAATATAAAAATACGAACAGTTGAAGCCAGTTTTAAGACTTTAAGGCTAAAATAAATTTTTCAAATTATAATACTCTACTTTCATATATATGTATTCCTAGCAGACCAATAAAATGGAGTGCTCGTTGTTTATTGGAAATGGACATTCCAATGGTGTTAGCCAACTAAGTAATTCTTTTTTAAAGTTTCCTGTGCAAAAATGTGTACAAAGAAATGTTTCTATACCAATTAATGTTGATAGTTTGGTTTGGAACATTACATTAAACTAAAGTTAGTTTTATATGTTCTCTTTTTACCATATTTAATGAATATCATTGTAGTCAATTTTTTTTTCTAGAATTTTTAATCTTTGTTACATTATAGAAAAATAGCAAGGGAATAATCAAAAATAGGCATAACAGAAACAAGGTTTCACAAAGGTAAATAGATTATTGTGTTTAAGCATTTACCGTTCTTTAAAAAAAAGCATAGCTGGCTTATGTGCAGAGATGCTGCGTAAAATATCAGGCACCAACTGAACGACTTAGCAGGACAGGGACAGTTCCAGTCTGATGGGTCAGAAGAATGAATTTTAGTGAGTTTCTACTCTGTGCATTGCTCTGTAATATGTGGTAGGCTTTCACATTATCTTTTAACAAACCTATTAGTGTTACTCTCCCCATTCTGCAAAAGAAGAAGTTGAGGATCAAATATTTAAGAAGATTGCACAAGGTCACACCACCAGTAACTGATAGAAATAGGATTTCACCCAGGTCTGTTTGATTCTAAATCCTGAGCCCCCCTCCTAATACAGAAAGAAAGTGCAGTAACTAGAAAGCAGAATGGCATAGAATAGCAGTATCACAGGAAAATAAGCAGCAGAATCTGGAGGGAAACTATAGTGAGAAGCAAGAGTTCTGGAATCACCAGGTGGTACTCAGATTTCAGAAACAGTTTTGTGATTTTAGCAGGTAAAATTTGGGCACTTCGGATGACGGAGCAATCTAAATGGCAAGGTCTGAGGGGAAAAAGCGAAAGAAAAAATGTTAGTATCGTATTCCTTTTCAAAGATGTGTCTAACTTACATAAAATATCAGTATACTCAACAACATGCCGACGTGGAATGTTATTTTCCTTTCTCAAAACGTTTAACCTAAGAGCTCAAAATCTAATAGAGGATCATTTACACCAACCACCTTTTTAGGTTTAACTTTCCTTAGTAAACTATAAGGATTTAAGACGTGGCCCTTCCTTTAGCCTTTTTCTTACTTTTGATAGCAAGAATGGGTGATTAAGAGATTAAATAAAAATATTTTTGAGGGTGGCCTTAAGTGTTTTTTTTTTAATTATAATGCAGTTCTCTCTGATATATTCTGTTATACAGCACTATGAATGCCAGAGGTTGCCAGGAGATACTAATTGATAAAAATAATAAAAAGGCCTTCTTAGATATCGGATTCTTGGATGTCTCTTAGAAGAACAGCTTGAGTTTAACTTCTATTTGGCAGTGCTTTCCTTGACATTAAGAAACGGAGCACCTTTGGAAGCAGTTTTTCCCAGGGAGTAGAATGGGTCCGGAGTGAGCTTTCTGGTCGACAGCCGGTTTCTAAGCCCTCTTCCCAATCTAGATGTCTCTGTTTGGGTGTGTTGCCAGTGGCAGTCAGCTGGGTCAGTGGCGTCTAACATCCCCCTTGGAGCTGCCGAGGTGGACAGTCTCTGTTTAGTTTGTAGGGAAAACTTGTGAAAGGTGATGACCTTAGTTTAGGGATGAGAAAACAAATGAGTTTAAAGTGGCAAAGGAGTGAAGCTTCAAAAGATCGTCCCTTCACCTTCTGCATGGGAGTAACCTCCAGGCCTCCTGTGGCCCAAGTCTATGCCGTTCAGTTTAAAATGCTCATCACCTAACACCTTCTGTGTAGCTGCCTTTCATCACTCAGCCAGCAGCTGGTCTTAGTTCTCCGCTGTGCCTGCGTGGCTCTCACACGGAGCTTCCCCGGCAGGGCCCGCAGTCATACCTCCCAAGGCTATCGATCTCCACGGGAACGGCTAACAATCCGCATTTCGAACTCTGTATATTTCAGGTTGTACTTTAATTAATGCAATAATAAACTGACAACAAATTGCCTGTATTTAGTTCCTAAAACAATAATGTATGGATTCACTCTGGATATAGAAAAAATAAATATGCTGTGTGTGCCCCCACCTCTCTCCTCCACGGTGACACCGTGTTGTAAAACAAATGTTGTAAAAAGTGATGAACTGTGAGTGATCCCAAGGAATATTTGCCTCTTTTCTTCAGAGCAGTAAGAACATAATATCTGATTACAAGATCCAAAGAATATGTCATCCTGTTTTCTGTGTTTACTTACTGATAGTTATATTTAACAATTAGGGAACATCTGGTCTCTTAAGAAAATATACTTTGTGCTTTAAAGCAATTCCTGCTTGGATCAAAATTATAGAATGTAATAGATAACAGAATGTAAGGACACTTTCCTTTAAATGTAAAGAGCATTTCCAAATGAACCCCACTGTCCCACAAGCCATTCTGCTCAGCTTCTGTCTATCTGAGTCCTTCTTTATCTTATCCTTCTTTGCCGGAAATTCAAATTTTACGTCTTCTTTGTGCTCAGAAGCTTACCTTGTTCAAAAAGGCCCTTATTGATACCATCACCCCTGAAACCATTATCAGTCATTCAGTTGGGTGTATTGTGGTAAAATACACAAAACATAAAATTCACCATTTTAATCATTTTAAAATGTATAATCCAGGAGCATTTAGTACATTCACAGTGTTGTCCAACATCATCATTATGTAGTTCCAAAACATTCTGATGACCCCAAAAGGAAACCAGCATTCCCATTAAGCAGTCACTCCCCATTTATGTAGCTCCCTAGCACCTAGAAACCACTAATCATTTTGTCTCTATGGATTTGCCTATTCTGGATATTTCATATAAGTGGAATTACATAACATGTGTGGCCTTCTGTGTCTGGTTTCTTTCATTTAGCATAACGGGTCCAAGGTTCATCCATGTTGTAGCATGTATCAGTACTTCATTCCCTTTTTATGACTGAATAATGTTTCATTGTGTGATTATACTACATTTTATTCATCCATCTGTCAGCAGACATTTGGATCATTTATAATTTTCAGCTCTCACGAAATGTATTTAGCTATTTAGCTATTTTTCGGCGGCTATCAACATCCTTACACAAGTTTCTGTTTAAATACCCATTTTCAGTGCTTTTGGATATATACCTAGGAGTAGCATTGCTAGGTCATATGATTGTATTTTTAACTTAATAAGGAACTGCCAAACTGTTTTTCACAGAGGCTGCACCATTTTACATTTCTACCATCAATGTATGGGGTTCCAATTTCTCTACATCTTCGCCAACATTTGTTATTTTCCTTTTTTTTTTTTTTAATTACAGCCATCCTAGTGGGTGTGAAGTGGTATCTCACTGTGGTTTTGATTTGCATTTTCCTGATGGCTAATGACCTGGAGCATCTTTCATGTGCTTGTTGCCATGTGCTGACCTTCTTTGGAGAAAATGGCTATTGATTTGCAAATATTTTCTCCCACTTTATGGGTTGTCTTTTTGCTCTCTTAATAGGGCACAAAAGTCTTAAGTTTAAGTCCAGTTTGCCTAGAGCTTTTTTTGTTGTTGTTGCTTGTACTTTTGGTCTTATACCTAAGCATCCATTGCCAAATCCAAGATCATAGACATTTATAACTGTTTTCTTTTTAAGAGTCTTATAGTTTTAACTCTCAAGTGTAGATCTTTGATAAATTTGAGTTAATTTTTGTATATTGCATGAGGTAAGGGTCCAACATCATTCTTTTGCATGTGGATATCTAGTTGTCCCAGCATCATTTGTTGAAGAAACTATTCTTTCCCTGAACCATTCAGTTTTGAAAGCCAAAAGTGTTTTACTTAATAATTGTATATTGCTTTTTTTCAGTTACCCATACATGTCTGTCCTCTCTCTATAAGAAACCCATTCAAGGGAGGAGATAGATTTCTTTAATGTTTCCTATGTTTTATATAAGGGCTAAAATGGTTTCCAAAGTAGGAAAAAAAGTCAGAGACAACTCAAGATTTTGACCCAGGAAAATCAGGGTAATTTATTTAAAAGATAATTTATAATCTTTTTAAAATATAAAAGTAGTAGGACAGTCTCTGCCCTCAAGATGTTCATAGACTAGTGGGGGAAATTAGCACATTGGATAGCCACCAGACACATGTGGTTATTGAGCACTCGAAATGTGCCTAATTCTGATTGAGATTTGCTAAAAGAACAAAATACACCCTGGATTTCAAAGGCTTAATACAAAAAGAAGAATGTCAAACACCTCATTAGTCATTTTTATATTAATTACATTTTCAAATGATAAATTTTTGGTATGTTGGATTGAATAAAATATCATAAATCTAATTTCACTGTTCCTTCTTACTCTGTTAATGTGGCATATATTATATTTCCACTGGAAAATACTGACATAGATAAACAGAAAATCAAGCAAGTGTCTCACAGAGACACTAGTAAGTGATAGAGGTGATATTTATAGCTATTTCTTAAAATTCTATAACCTAGGTTTTTAATGACTACACTATATAACTCAAAGTCAACCAGAAATATGAAGATATGATTGGTGGCCCCAGTTTGAAACTGGAAGGTAAGAGAAGGGTCTGTAACACATATTGAATGCAGAACATCTTCAAGGAATACGAAGAAAATACAAACATCCTGCCCACACTTCAGATCTCATGCGGAGACATACCTGACCTGCATTCTTCAACTAGAGAACAACTACAGGCTAAACCAGTTCTCAGCCAGGGATGGTTTGGGCCCCCAGGGGCATTTGGCAATGCCTGAAAACATTTTTGGCTGTTACAACTGGAAGGCACTACTAGCATCTAATGGGTAGAGGCCAGAGATGCTGATAAATTTCCTGCAACATACAAGGATGGCTCCTGCACAGCAAAGAATTCTTTGTTTCAATGGGCCAGTAATTCTGAGGTTCAGAAACCCTGTATTGCACTTTACTAGGGTAAATATTTCAGAGAAAGAAGAGGCAAATGTTGCAGGAGCTCTCAGGAAGACTACCAAAAGGAAGGGACCCTTCAGTGGGCCTTGGAATGCGGGCAGGTCCCAGTAGGTACAGGGATGGGGCAAAGAGATCAAGATAGCATTACCGGTCAGGAGGAGTGTAGCCAGTAGTAGGAACTAGAAATGGATTTGAGCAAAGAGTGTGTCATAAAAGAAGCAGCAGCAACTAGAGAATGGTTTAGAATTCAGATTTGGTCTCTAACCCTTTTTATTCTACTTGGCAGCTGAGCGGCTCTGAGCAGATCACTTGACCTTTCTGAAATTCAGTGTAACCCTCTGTTGATGGGGATAATTGTAATCAAATGAGATCCTCTGTGTACAAACAATTGTGTAACTGAAAATACAAAGTATTGTTGTTAACTTTATCATTGTGGTTGTTACCAGATTGAGTTGGTTCCAGAGTGTGAGGACTTTGAAAGCCCAGCAAGGAGAGGGGGTTGGATCTCTGGGACCATCTGGAGCAGGAAAGCCGTTAGAGGGGAGTGATGTTGTGGAAGGTTCACTTGGATACGGTGTGCAGGGAAGATGGGAGCAGGGAGGGAGTATAGTGAGGAAAATCATCTAGGACACCTTTCCAGGGAAACAGCGTGGGTGGTTGACAAGTGCTACAGGGGAGGCAGCTGGTGGAAGGCACTGTGCCACCATGTTCCAGGCAGCTGCCTCCCCTGTGGACGCTCATCCACAGCCTGGTGGCAGTAAAGTGACTTGAGCAGCTCTTCCAGGGGCACGCAGAGGGATAAGTCATGGCTCTTGTAGAAGTGGACGGAAAACGAGGCAGGTCCCTCCATGACCTTATGCACTAGTCCTAAGTGTTGAGTGAAAACTACATGTGGTTTCTAAGACTGAGTGTTTAGTATTTTATCATCAACGTGGAACTCTATGAAAATGTGGGTTCTGAATTTACCCTGAGCTTTGTCTCACCTTCAACAGCACTACCATGGTAATATTTCCTGAAGCTTTCCTGTAAAGGAATGCATTTTCATAGTTCTTTGAGGTTTAATTTTCCCACGTTTATTACTTCAAATTCTCCCAGCCTGGCACCAAGACAGAAAATTTCCGATATTAATTATTTTTTAAAATAATTTATTTTCTAAGACATTTGGGTGATGGCCAGCAGTTTTACTGTCACAAGAATGTAGAGAATGTGGGCTCCATTAGCATGTAAGCTTCCAAAGGGCAGGGATTTGGGGTTGTTTTGTTCACAGCCTTAATGTTAGTGCTTAGAACAGTGCCCGGCACATGATAGCACTCAATAAATTATTTGTCGAATGAGTGAGAGAATGTCCGAATGAACAAGAAGCATACGTGGTTTGTGGACTCTTCCTAGACGGTTGTGTGATTGATGGAGTGCTGTGTGCCTCTGGGGTGCTGGGTATGACAGTATCTGACCCCCAGTCATGAACTGAGACTGTTATCGAAGCTGTCTCACTGAGACCCATCTATTGTCACTCATTCATGGCCACAAGCACTCAAATCAAGTGTTTTCTCCTCTCCTTTTTACCTCCTCTGGAACCTAGCAGAGGTAAATCAGTAAAGTTGGAAGTGGAGGAAGATAAGAGCACAAAGGGATCAAATCCCACCCCCACCCCGGCCCCCCGGAAGTGGAATTGGTTTGTCTCCCTACACCTTACCCCAAGAGTGGCCTTTCCATGTTCCCGAAGAAGAAAACATCCCAGGGGAGGGTGTGCATCTGGCAGGATGGTTGCACTCCAGTCAACTCGACTGCTACAGAAATAAGGGCTCTTCAGTAAGACTTGACAGTACGCCAGTTCTGCCAATGATAAGAGAAGCCCGAAACACCAACAAATCACCACACACCACTGGCCATGTTTCCCAATGTAGGGCTGCAAGGCCACCAAACAAAACAAATAGGACAGCTACCCTCAAAGCTTGCCAACGTCGTTCTGAAAATGTAAAAAAAAAAAAAAAAAATAGCTTTCCTAAGAAACTATTATAACAACGGAAGAACACTGAATAGGTCATTTACAGGTGCCCTACAGAGTTAAGAGGTCCCTCATTGGCACATTTTCCATCCTTGTTAGCCATTTTCCTTGTCGTGAATATCATTTCTTCACTTTCCACATCAGCTTGCAAGGTGTTCCTTATGATACTTGAAGTCTTCGTTTGGTAGGAGGGAAGCCCAAGGATATTTTACTCAAAATATATCTTCTTATAAAGGAAAGCAAGCAAACAAAAAGGTATTTATTCTGATATGCATTGAATTATCAAATTCTCATTAAACATTGGTCTGAGATTTTACTGCACCATTGGGGCCTTACTACAGACATAGTAAGGCTCCTAAAAGGTGAGATTTCATCATTGAGGAGTTCAGGAGAGGAAGGAATCTACCACGGGGTTTCTCTTCACCAGAAATGGAAGTCCCTCCAGTTTCAGAATTGATTCTTGGGAAAAGCCAACTTTACTAGGTTTCTTCTTTAATGCCATGTCCTTGAAGATAGTATATTCTTGGGTTTAAAACCAATAATTTTCCAACATCTTCCCAAGTTGAAATTTACGTTTTCTGAAAATCTGGAGTCCTGATAAATTCAGTGAGACCTCCCTTTTCAATCTTTATATAGAAATATAGAAGTATAGGGGCACCTGGGTGGCTCAGTTGGTTAAGCGTCTGCCTTTGACTCAGGTCATGATCCCAGGGTCCTGGGATCGAGCCCCGCATCGGGGCTGAGCAGAGAGCTCGCTTCTCTCTCTTCCTCTGCCCTTCCTCCCACTTGTGCTTGCTTGCTCTCTCTCTCTCAAATAAAATCTTAAAAAAAAAAAAAAGGAAATATAGAAGTATGTGTTGTTAGGTGTACATATTTCAAGATTATAAAGTGTATCCAAGATTGGAATAGTGTCCTGGAAGGAGTGTAGTTGCACGACTGTGAGCCTGTGTGCAGTGGGCATGGGTGTATGTAGGTGTGGTCACTTTGCATTCCTGAGCTACCTGTAGCCAATAATCATTCCTGAGGAAAATTGTGTTTTTAAGTTCATTATTAAGGCATTTGTAATGTTGATGATATCATGCAGAGTTGGGTTGGGGTTTTTTTTTAAGACTTTATTTATTTGAGAGAAAGAAACAGATAGAGCATGAGCAGGGGTCAGGGAAAGGGAGAAGCAGGCTCCCTGCTGAGCAGGGAGCTGGACATGGGGCTGGACCCCGGGACCCTGGATCATAACCCAAGCCGAAGGCAGACACTTAACTGACTGAGCCACCAGAATGTCTTGTGCAGCGTCGTTATTAAAAGTCTTTCACCTTGGGAGCGACTGGGTGGCTCAGTCATTAAGCGTCTGCCTTTGGCTCAGGTCATGATCCCAGGGTCCTGGGATCGAGCCCCACATCAGGCTTCCTGCTTGGTGGGAAGCCTGCTTCTCCCTCTCCCACTCCCCCTGTTTGTGTTCCTGCTCTCGCTATCTCTCTCTCTGTCAAATAAATAAATAAAATCTTTAAAAAAATAAAAAATTTAAAAAATTAAAGTCTTTCATCTTGTCTCTGAGTGTGACTAAAGAGAAGGGCAATAAATTAATACAATTAATGTAAATAAATGTTATTTGTAAATGTGAAATTACAAATAAATTGTAGCTGTTAAACTCCTACTCCATTAAACACCTCTTCTTGAAACTCAAAGATTTAAAAAGAAAGTAGAAGCCATTTTAAAAAAATCTCTACTATAGCAAATAGAAAGCTACACAAATAAAAATCAGAACGATGTCCTAGAATAAAGCAAATGTTGATCAGGTCAAATGAAAATGAGCCAAGTCCCCGAATTAGAAAAAAAACCATTTGGTCAAATGGAAAACATTTCTGGACTTCTGTCTTTCAGACCTGCCTGCCTCCCAAGCTGTTATATGGTGATATTGAAAATATTTCACGTATCACAGAGATAACACAAGGATGAAAGGCATGTTTGAAGTTCTTGAAACTATTCTGAGAAAGCTACTTGAGAAAACATAAGCACCGTCAATAATACCATAAGTGCTGTCCATCATTAAAACCAGGCAATCACTTTTCATCCATTTCCTCTTTCTCTGATAGTATTTTTTGACATTAAAATATCACATTATAATGAACATTTTCTTAAAGCAGTCTTCTTTTGTAAAATGAGTGCCAAAAGCAATACCAAAACCAAATCCTCATAAACCAACACAAGCAGAAAATACGGTCGTAGGAAGACAACAAACATGGATTCATTCATTCATTCATTCAATCAGTCATTCATATCAAGATGTGGCAGGCAGAGACATAATAACCACGGCAGGTCTAGGGGAGGATTGGGATACAGACAGGGATAGAGGCAACTCTGGAAGCTTGGGAGGCCAGCATGGCTGATCATCTTATATGAACAAAATAAAAAGAATGCTGTTTATTCTGTTATTCAGCAGAGATGGAGGTCTTTGTAATATTAATTTAAATTCTCCATAAAGTGTTTACGTATTTATACTGCAGTTTGTTTAAACTGGAGTCACTGGCTATCTCTTGGGTATCAGGCATGGTCCCAGCTGTTTGTAGGAATGGCTTTTCTGTGCTGTGTTAAAGTCCTGGTTATGATTTACGTAACCTCACTGTTGATCAGCTTTAGTTGGCAACATACGATGTGTCTGGTCTATTAAGTTTCCTTTCTAGAATGCTGATATACACAATACATAGGATCATTTTATGTACGGAGACTTCCTGTAGCTATACCGAAAAAAAAAAAGGACTCCTCGGTTTAGGGGTTTCTTTTGTTTTCTTTTCCTTTCTTTTCTTTTTAATGCCAGCCTACCTTTTTATTTCTGTTATATAGCCATCATGCTGTAACTAATAGTTTCAGTTACAAGGAACTAGAAAAAAAGAAATTGACATTTCCCTACCAATCGTGATGCGGTATTATTATATTATCTATCACAGGCAGAGGGAACATGACTAGTATTTGTTGATAACTAATATAGTAGCTCACAATGAGTTTTAGAAAGCAGATCAATATT